GATCAGCACCAAGCAGTGTTTCTCCTCCTGGTAAACTTTTCTTTTTTTAAGGTTCTTGGCGCACAGCAGGGTGTCTGCATTGTCATTGATAACATATTCACATTTACTTTGAAGCCTTGCTGTGCCTAAGTACAGCCTTACAGAGCTAAAAGCAAGACTAGTGTTGTTTAAAATGAGTGTTACTTGGAAGAGCAGTATTAAACAGCTTGAGGTCCTCTTACAGACTATGAGATATGTCAGGATAAGACATGAAATAAAAAGACTCGTACTGATCCTCTCTGCATGTGTTCACAGCTACGTGGACCTGCCCGGGTACTCGGCTAGGATGGGAACTCTGTTTCGTGATCCACAAGCAGAAGAGCCCGGCATGCAAACCATCCCGCTGACAAAGATCGTCTGCGGACCCTCGGAGTCTCAGCTGGTCATGCTACAACTGGAATAGTGTGTACTGTCAAGTGCCCCCAGCATGCTCTCTCTCTCACACACACACACACACACACACCAATAATTTCCCTCTGCCTCTCTCTTTCTTCCTCTAGTCCGGCCCAGATTAATGAGCGTATCTCTCAGATCTGCCTCCCTCCTGAGCGTTACATTGTAGCTGAGGGGACGCCATGTGAGATCGCAGGATGGGGTGAGACGAGAGGCAAGTATAATCCTTTGGAAATGATTAACTTGACACTGAATTAGCAACACGCTGCGCTTCATGCAACTACAATATGCTTCAATTTCAGTAATTGATAATTGATGACTTCCTTAGAACAAGCATCTTGCGTCTGCCCTTGAAGTAATGTTGCGTCTAAATGAGAGCGCAATTCAGAACAGTGAGCAACAGATGGCGTTGCTATTTGCAGAAACATTCAACATCTGTCCACCTTCCTTTGCTATTTTCTCCATCTTTAAACACATCGGCTGCTGCTAAATCATTCCTCCGTCTCGTTGTTGTTTCAAGGGACTGGAGATGAGACTGTCCTCAACGTGGCCCACATACCAGTTCTGAGTAACAAGGAATGCAACAAATACTTCAGAGGTCGCGTTCGTGAGAACGAGATGTGCACGAACTCTTTCCATGGTGGGGTGGGCGCCTGCGAGGTAAGAGTCTTTAAAGAGAGTGCACAGCATCTAAGCTTTATTGTCCTTTTTGAATAGTAGAATATTTGTTTTACCCTCAAGCTTCATCAGTTTCTCCATTCACAATCTTTTTTGTTCTTTTTTTTTTGCATTTCGACAGTGTTGGGTATAACTTGCAACATATAAAAAACTTTAAAAAGATAACAAATAAATGTTTCACTTAATTAAAGTCACCAATCAAAATGTTGATTACAAATGGATTACATCTATGCAATATATTTTTGGCAAAAATTAATTAATTAAGTATTGTGAGGTTTTCACTGTTTTATTGTCAAGTTCAAGATATGTGTTTAAAAAGTTATGAAAAGTAATCAAATGTAATAAGTTGCATTTCGTTGAATAAGTAATTAAAATAGAGACATTTATTTTTACATTGTCTTAACAAAAGGTAACCATGACGCAAACAAAACAACCATTAACTGCAGTGTGCAGAGGCATTCAAGGAATATGTCAAACATTTAAAAATACAATCACACGCTTTCTTGTCGAGAGTTTGACGCTATCATGCCTTTATGCTCATTATGTTGCTAGAGCAAGTAGCCAGTGAGCATAGCCTGTCTGAGCTAGCTATTGTACTGTAGCATACAGTAAACTACATTACGTTTTCAACTTTTGTACGTTATGCTAAATATTTCCCTGAGCGATGGAGTTCATTTGGGAGCGTTGCAGAAAGCCTCTCAGGTTGTCTGCTTGTTTAGACTCAGGCTTTCACGGTAGTTACTGTCATAATACAGCACATGTGCACTTCAGTTAGCAATGTTACGCTTCACTCGCATCATCATCCTTTAATGTTACTTGACAGCATTATTGTGAGTGTTTGCTAGCTTCTTCTAAAAGGACAACGAAAGAGAATGCAGAATTTAAAAGAATGAGAATGCAGTTTTTCTCAGAGAAAATGATGCACATCATTTATAATATAATTATAATAATGTTTTTTTCTTTCATTGTTTGCCTGTGAACCTGTTGTTAGGTTTGCTTTTTTTTGCTCAGCCAAGCTGGATGTTTCCAGTTTTATGCTAAGCTAAAATAAGCTAACTTGCAGCTGGAGGTTAGTTTCAACCTCTCATCTAACTCCCGGAAACAAAGCAAATTAGCATATTTCTCAAAAGTCAAATATTTTAATGAGCAAAAATAACAGCATTAAGCTCAGATAATTAAAACTTTAAATACAGATGGTAAAGAAAATTAGTTTGATGATGAAATTCTCTACAAGTGCTCTTAAACAGCATACAGCTATTTATATGTTCCTATAAATCATATTCACCAATTGAACAATGGAAGTGCACACTGGACAAGATGTGACTGCAAGATGTTTCCAACCTCAGCAGTGACAGTCAGTCATAACAGAGACAAATAATGACGGCGGAGTGTTGTTCCTGTGTTTCTGCAGAGAGACTACGGCGGACCTCTGGCGTGTCAGAACAGCGACTGCTGGGTACTGGAGGGTGTGATCATCCCCATGAGGCGCTGCGGACACCCAGGGCAGCCCAACATCTTCATCCGAGTGTCTGTCTATGTGGACTGGATCAAGAAGGTCATGGAGATGGCTTAGAGACTGCCGTTTAACAGGAACTGCTCAAATCAACTGGCAAATACCAAACAGACCAGTTAGTCACTTTACCACATAAAAACAATCTTTTCAGCTGTCTCTTTTACATAAAAAAATGTTAATTATACAATAAGATTCATAGTCAGATTTTATTTTACGATTAATACAATTACTACATGATAGAGACTATGTGAAATTATATTTAGTCTACTGTATATCTCTGCCAGATTAACCTACCAAAATCATTTATGTTTCCAAAACATAATTACATATGCTGAGATACAAAAACATGCAGAGAATCATAACATTTTAATTTATTACAAATCTTCTCATTACAAGAGGTCCTTCGGTTTATATATTGCATTTAACTATATTTCAGTTGTAAGCAGATACAAGGGCATTTTTAGCTGTCAAATAGTGTCAAGTATTTGGCAACAATGATAACCTCTCCTATAATTGTATGTTATTACAATGTTGTTTTAAAAACCTTTTCATTCATTATGTGTTCCTACAACAGCCCCCACTTAAGAGTGCCCACAAGAAGAGTTGTTTTTTCACAAACACATAATTAAACACTGCTTACAGCTACTTTATAGTGCACTGAAATTAATGTCAATTTTTAACTAATTGTAGCCCCTCCGGTTCAGAGCAGAATAACTGAGAGTAAGTAACTCCTAACTAACATCCCCTGGAAATGCACCCTTCACCACAAAACTGTCTGCCTCCCCTCCTCTCAGTGGCAGTGAATGGAGCTCCGAAATACCTCCTTTGCCCCCAGTCTCTAAAGAAATCCCTCCTCTGCCTGTCTTTTGATGCCTGCCCCCACCTCTAAAGACATGCCTTTGTGCCTTATGCAGAACTGTATGCGCTGCACATTCTTTCTAGTTCTATAGGAGGATTTTTGTAACCCGGTCCTGATGAGCCCACGGAATTCAGCTTAAATAAACCTCAAGATCAGAGTCCGACCGAATCTCAGACACACCAGCCTGCAGAGGGCCACTGAACTCACACAACTCCTCACTCATGCAAACCCTCCCCCCTCGATCTGTCTTATACATTTTCACACCAACATTGTTCAATCCAAATATACTAACATTTTGTCTTTTGCAGAACTAATAGCAGTATAGAGTAGAAGATGTTCCCTTTCACTAAAAACAGACAATTATCATCCTGCTGGACACAGCGTCTGGAAATGGCGGGTTGACAGTTATGATTTCAGCATCATTCTGGCGCTTTCATTTAGTAATAATTATAGTGGATGACTAATCAAATTCATATATGACTACCAGTTCTCACCAACTGTTAAAGCTTAATGCTTCTGGGAAACCTGAATACATTTTTAATAAATGCTGCCACAGAAATATTCAAATAGTTTCTTTGTAATTTGTCTCATGCATCCTTTGTTATCTGAATGATCTGTATCTTTTAATTCAACATTTTTATGTGAGTTTTTCAAAATACAACTTCATATTTCAGAGGATATGAATTTCTGAGGTACATAATGAAACTGACACTTTCTGGCATTCAGATGCAGCCCAGTGCTCCATCTTTGTAACCTAAAGCTTTATATTTTTGGTCTTATGCCAGCAGGCTGACCTGACATGACTCCATGAGCGGTTCAGCATTAGCCGCCCCTGGAATGTGTTTTCACTGTTGTTCAAACATGTATGTCTGTATTTATCAGTGTGTGCAAATTTACAAAGTTACCTCTGAAATCTCAATGTTTTTTAAACCTATACTGAAGCATGCGTCAAAAACTATGATGGTAGGATTTCAAGATTCCAAAGTCCACCATAGGAAGATGTTATTTTAAACATAAAGAGAACAAGAACAGAACAAATACTAAAGATACAAGATATGGTGTCTAATAAAAACACTTTGTTCAGGTTGTTTAACATAGGAACATTAAAGGGGACATTAGTCATTTTACTCAGATCTGGTAAAAGGGAATCTGATGCATAATTAAATTAACCAAACTGTGGTCACCCCCCCACCCCCCCAAAAAAAAGACGGCACACACACTTTGCTCTCAAAAACCCCATCTGATATTTGGTTCCTTTGTTATGACTGACAGAAACTCAAGCAGTGTAGGTGGGGATCTAACAGCAGGGAGGGAGAGAGAGAGTGTGAAACCTCTGCTTAAACCCGTCTAGACATTTCTACTGTACCTTCTCCTCCCGTCTGTGGGGAACTTCCCCACTTTGGGAACCCCGGAACCAGACTCTCTCTTTCTTTCTCTCAAGTGGGTGGTCCGGTGAGCTTTTCGGGGCGGGGTCCTCTGTTCCAACCCTCCTACCCTCGCTCCCTCTTGAAACATGCTTTAATAGAGAAAGTATGCAATGCATACTGCTCAGCTACAACCCCCAATTATACTGCAACTGGGGTATTCGTGACTGGACGTCTGGGGGGATCACACACATTTCCGATTAGAGGAGAGAGGGAGAGAGAGAGAGAGTTTACCCTTTCAATCCAACCAATGAGACGGTCGATACTCAGAGATTTTCAGAGTTGTGCAGGAGCACAAAGTGAGCTGACCGTGTGTGAACTTCCAGGTAAAGCTAGAACCGTCTCAAGGTAAGTTCCCTGCGCTCTCATTGTTGCATTTGGCGGTGAGCACTCAGCCTGAACATGGAGCCTATAGCCTGGGTGTATGTATGTGTGTATGCCCATGGCTGCTTTGAAAGGAGAGCTTTTGCACCTGTGTTCCTCGCCTTTGTCCCTCTCGCTAAAGTTTCTCCAGTTTTTCGGTTCATCCACTTCGGCGGACCTGTTATCACTAATGAAAACAGCACATACAAACTATTGCGCAAGTGATGTGAGCAGGGGGATGTTGTGAAGAGAGCACCGACTTTAAACACTGACGGCCTCGACTGTTGTTTTGGCGTTTACATGCGCCAGATACTCAACCCATAGTCGGGAAGGTTTGAAGTCATGGGGCTGGCTGCAGGAGCGCTTTACGCACCTTCTTAAAAGGCTGTAAAACAAGGTGTTTTTATGGTTGCAATTGCCGCCCATATGCAAAAAGTACATTCAGTCCCAGTACTAGACTGGCAAACACAGACTAGTTAAGCGGGCGGTCTGCCGCTGCAGAAGAAGTGCAGGACGCTTGTTGTGTTGCTCCTAACTCCGTTTAGAAGCCACGAAACGGCGTCGTTTGTCTCGTTTGGCTTTTACTCGTTTCAACAAGGACGTATATTTCTCAAATGACTCCGACTTCCTGCTTCAGTTCGCCCGTTTTGATAGGCTGTGTTGGCAATTAGATTTTGGCACATTCCTCCCAGAGCTAGACCTTACGGTGAACGACCACTTTAGGACATTACAAACAGCATTTAGGTTCATCTATCTATCTTAATAAAATTAACTAATCGTCCTTTGAGAAATTCCCAACAAATATGATAAGAGGATACATGGTTTGTCATAATCAATCAGACAATTATTTTGATAACTCATTTATACTTTCAGTCATTTTTCGAGAATTGTTGCCTTTCTTGGTCATAATGTGATTGTAAACTTGTTATCTTTGACAATTCAAGATGCCAACATGGTTTTTGGGGGCGTAAAGGGCAGTTTTAACTATGTTGTTACATTTAATTGACCAGACAATTACTGAATTAGGAAATCACTGACTTGTCCTTAATAATAAATTGATTATTCAGTTGGTAAAACAATAAGAAGTTTTGCCTGAAGTCCAAATTGTTTCTTCAAATTATGTTTTTTCATGTATCTGTGCCCTATAACTCAAAACCGAAAACTATTTTGTTTACAATCAAATGAGACACAGAGACTGCCATCAATTATGAAAAAAGTTCCAGGTTCATTTCTTGTGGATGACTATTCTATAAATCAACTAAGCATTGCAGCTCTGAAGTTCACTATATAGGTTGCAATCTTAGATGTTTGAATAGTTTGTCATGTTGTAATGATTCTTTCCATTAAAAATAAGTAGTTTATTTTTTGGGTGTCTAAGTTCCACACGTTTCAAATAAAGGTTGTTGCAGCATCAGCACGCCTACAGCATGCACAACCTCATTGAGAAATACCTCGCAGAGGACAGATGGAAAGGCAGCGTACAGCAGAGCAGATGCAGATTTTGGATGGCAGATTGAGTTGTGAATATCTGTGCTACTTTTAGTTTCTGGACACCATTCTCATGTTTCCCTGCGTCTGCCAGACCCCTGTCTGTGTTTCCAATGAACCTGGTGCCAAGGCTAATGTATAAGCAGTTCCCACGCTCACTACTGGAAAATGACCCTGTGTGATTCTGATTTATCCTTTCAATTATATTAAGCACTGATCAAAACTCACAGTTGTGATTGTGCAAAGAAAACGTTTTGAATAGAATTTGTGGAAGATGATGGCTGAATTCATAAGTTTGCAATACTATGTTTTTTTACACTCATCTTCTCCTCTTTAAGCCCTTGAGGCTGCTTCTCCAGGCTTTGATGCCCACACTCTTTGAAGCAGGTGGACAGACACAGGCATGAGTAATCGTGGGACCAAAGAGCCGTCTCCCGAGCCGAGCACTGCCCAGTCTCCTCCTGAGCCTCAGCGCAGGGGCAGGGGTCGGCCCCGGAAACAGCAGCAGGTAAGGCTCCAGTCTTTAAAAAGATCAGATTAATCAGGTCTATCCTAGATCTTAAATCATTAAGTATCTAATTAAAAAGTGCTTCTGGGAAACAAAGCTAGTTAATTATGGGTCCGTGTCTCCTGGCTGTAAAGAAACAGCTCATGCCAAGCAATGATTTTCAATGGTTAGTTTAACATGTGGTTTTTTCTGTGCAGGAGCCTGTTGGGCCACCGACTCCGAAGAGACCGAGAGGACGACCCAAAGGCAGCAAGAACAAAGGCCCCAAAACTGCACTGAAGGTTAAAACTGATTTATAAGCTGTCAATAAATACATGTATTTATTTGAGAAAGAAAGAAATGATGCTGTGAATTTCTTAACATTAGAAAATATAATAGAAAGATATAATCATTAGTGACATTACAGTCATCTGTGATTTCTTACTCTAACACTCAATAACACACACAATATTTGTCTTACAATTGATGGAAATACTCTCTATACATTTTGTTTCCATTTATAATTTTTTGAAACTAAGATTGATGTCATTTGCAGGGCATTTAATGGAAGTCAGCATTCATCATGATGAGGGCAGTGTCAGCTGAAAACAGAGAAAAGAGCAGCTGTTAAATCAGTGCAGTATTTTTGTCTCACGCCTGTTTGTTAGTGATAGCTATTATTGTTCTGAGGAATGAAAGATTGTCTTACAGAGAGATGTCTCTCCCTTAACATTAATAAAAGTGGTTAAAGATACGACAGCACATGCTTAAATACCGAAAGTACATCTTTGAGGCACATGTGAAGTCACTTTGCAGTTTACAATTTTACACATCATCTTTTAAACTATCACTTTGTATATCAACAGTGTTTTATGTTGATATAAGCTCCATCTAAATTGGTCCATCTTTCACATCTATGCATTCATGATAATTATTTTTATCTTAATATGTATGTACAATAATCAAAAACTCTGTAATGAAGTATATTGCATAGTGAGCATTACTTTTGGTACTTGAAAATATTTTTGAATGCATGACTTTTAATTATACCATTTTAAACATGTATTTCTACTTTCAATTGAGTAAAGAATTAGTACCATTCTCACCAAAGGGACCTTTTCCAATAATGTAACATTAAAACAGCACTTCTAAATTAACCAATACTTTAAAAACTAAAATCTCAGCCTATTTTTTATATTGTGTATTTAGGTGTTTTCAAAATAAACTAAAACATGTGTGGCAGCGTGTTTAAAAAGTGTTGACATTGTTGAATGACAGCTGTGAAATATCAATTTACAGTACACTTATGACGACATGTACTCAGATATAGCATCAGGAGCCACATTGCTGTGTGCATTGACATAAAAGATAGTTTAGAAAAAAGCTACCCTTTGCTATTTGGTCAAATGTTCTCTTAAAGTTGAAGTTTATTTTCAGAGGCTTGTTGTAGCAGGAGTGAAAGTTGTTGTCGTGCCCCTGCTGGCAGATTTCCAGGTTGTCTGTGCATTTGTAGCAACACTCTAAACAATTGTATACAGATAACATATCTTGTTTTATTATAGACTTTATTTGTTTCATCGCTATCTCTTGAAAAAAACATTAGTATCAGGCAACTCCACCGATCTATTTACATCTGAAACATACATTTGTTTGTATGTGCCTATTTATGTTGATATAAGCTCCATCTAAATTGGTCCATCTTTCACATCTATGCATTCATGATAATTATTTTATCTTAATATGTATTTACAATAATCAAAAACTCTGTAATGAAGTATATTGCATATATTGCCTATTGTAAAACATGCCATAACCCACATACATTTTTTTGTTTTTTACAAATTAAGGGAAATTCAGCATTTCTCTGAAAATGTGGATACAAAAGCAAAATATGCAATGAATATGTGTATTTTTGGTATTTTTATTCGATTGTTGAAGATCATTTAACTTTGCTTGGTAGAGTTCCTCATTTATATTCAGACAGACAGCTCTTCATATTCTACACAGAGGGATACTTTGACTTAAAGAACTGTTTGTATTGCAGTTAACTTTGTTCTGGCGACAAAGTAATAAAAACTATGATACAAAATGGCAACGCATAAGATCCTAATCTTAGTTAGAGCTGAAAGTATGCCAGGATTGTTAAAATGTGAAACCTGGTGTTAACCATTCGTCTGTTCTTCCTCAGAAAGTAGAGCCCGTTGGTGAGAAACGTCCGCGTGGGCGACCGAGGAAATGGGTATGGAGCAATCACTGACAGTTGTGTCCAAAACCTTCAAGGTGTCTCCTTGAGCTGCAGGGCGCTTGTATTCATGATATATTCATTGTGTTTCCTCTCTTACCGCAGCCCCGGAAAGTAGTACAAGTAGCTGAAGAGCAGCAGGTGAGGAAAAAAAAAATCTTTTGATTCTTGTGATTTAATTTGTTAAAATGACTGAAGTAAGATCTCTAATCTAACAAAATGAGCAGAAATGTTGCAGATTCTTTAAATCATTACAAAGCATTACATCCTTAAATCTAAGCATAAGCCCTCTATAATTAAATACCCTTCCACTGCAGTCTTTTTGGTAAGTCACACGTACCAAATTACTTTCAAACGTTTTTGAATTAGTCACTTACTAGATATCACATCGAACTGTGAGAGTCTGTGACAATGAAGAAATACATCCTCTGCTTCAGTAGATCAGACATTTCAGTTTGTGTCACACATCTTACTTTTTCACTAAATCAGTCTCATTTATAATGAGGGACTTTTGAGGGCAGATCTCATTTAACTATTCATGAATATCTTCTGCTTGTGTTCCTATTCAAACCTGAACTACATTCAAAAGCCCTATGGGCCCATTAAGTTGGTTCTGCAGCCAACAAAGTATTGCCTTCAGACAGTCTATAGTAACCAATTTATTAAATATACCTAACCAACACTGCAGTGCGTTATATTGAATGTTTTTAACAAAACACATAAAGAGAGAGAGCATGATGACAAAGTTATTGACTTACCAACATAGTTATCCACTTTGATGCATTATACTGCTGTAGTTTTGGCTAGATTGATCAAGTAAACTGACATGTGATTCTTAAGTATCGCGTTTTTATATTTGTTTTTTCATCATTTAAATTTTTTTTAAATGTATAAAAATCATACTTTATAAGTATCATATACTTCTTCGGCAAACGTCTCCATAATCACAAATCCAACACAGAATAAGAAAAAGCTTCTTTCCTCCAGCTTGTGCAGCACATACAGCTAATCCTTTGCACTGCCCTGCACATTGAAACATTAGGATTAGAACAACATGGCACATTGCTGCTAACTACATATTTACTTTAATTGACTTCACAAGGATATGACGGGTTCTAGGAAATGTACAGACGGCGGTGCTGAATTCCCCAAATACACCTCCAAACATCCTTTCGTTACATCCAGTTTTAGTGGGTGCACACCCAGTGTTTCTGAGAAACGTTAGTTCTTTAAGCCACCTCGTCATATTTCAAACAAAGAATATTGCACAACGTGTCAGTTCTCTTGATGCCCCTCGTCTTCCTTATCGCATCCTCTCCTCTTCAAGAACTGAAACCGTTGAGATAGACTCCCTTTTTCAGACGCACGCACACGAAGGGGAAGAATGAGTCAATGTAGAGAGGGGAAACCTGATCTAACTGTTCTCTTTCTCTGTCTTCTTGGTTTCCTGACCTAACCGTCGTCTTCTTCACATTTCTAAGTCTGACAGCTGGACCTACTTCCCCGCACGCAATCACTGAATTTTACACTCATTATTGTATTCTCGTGCTCTTTCTAGTATAGATTCATTATCTTGTGCATTATGAGTCACTAGACTGCGACAACACACAACGTGATGGTGTTTTTTGGTCTTGTGCTGTTCCAGGGCTCTTCAGAAGAGACTGAGGATGATCCCTCGCAGCTCGAGCCTCAGACATCTCAGGTTCCAGCGCAGGAGGAAGGGGAGTAGATGGGATGCCTTTCGACCTACCTCAAGGTTTGGCCTCAAACAAACAGGGGTCTGACCCCTTTCTGTGATGGGAATTCAGGAACACACACATAACCACACAAAAAGAAGTCATTGCAGACAGTTGTTTCTTCTCCCGATATGATACTGTACCCTGGTTTTATTAGTTCGCTGTCAGAGTTTGATGAACAAGCTCTGTTTTTACTTCGAATAATTTGATCTTTCAAAATAGCTTTTTTTTAGCAAATAGTTTGACATTTTGGGAATTGTGCTTGTTCACTTACACCAAGAGTTGCATCAAAAGATTGATACCAATCTCATATCTGTACGGTTAATATTAAGCTACTACCAGAAGCTGGTTAGCTTAACTTAGCATAAAGACTGATAGCAGTTTTTAGTTAATTGTTCACACAGTTACTGCAATGTGCCTTTCGAGTTTTAAATGTGTAAGGTCAAATGTTCAACTTCAGACTGTCCAGTCTGAATGCTACGCTTAAGATTCATTGTTTTTTAGAAATCTTCTTATCTAACTTTTGGAAAGATTGCCAAGAAGCGTATTTACCCAAAAGGTCAAACTATTGCTTTAAGGATGCCCACTCTCTTAACCTCTCTGCTTGTCTCTGAGCGGGTGTGTGGACAGGATTGTGGGTTAAAATTGAGAGAAAAAAGGAACTAACCTTGACTGTTTTATTGAAAAGAAATCTAAATCAAGTGTCATGAATTCTCATATGAAATGGGAGCAAGATGGTGACATTTTTAGTGATGTTACAATATAAACATGGTGCTCTGAAGTAATTATTATAAAAGTAGACGTGAAAGATTTTATTCCAAAAGGAGATATCCAGTTTGGGAGAAAATAAATGTCTTATGTTCATTACTCAAAGTTCAAAAGTAATGCATAACAATTGCCAATGTAGGCAAGAGTTGGCTTAGTAACCTCAATGATTGTATTTCCTCTTCCACCCTCCAGCAAGTAAAAAAGCACCCAAAGGTTTATATGGATGTCTTGTTTTGGAAAGAAACCCTTCATATTTACTTTAGTCAACAACATTGTTGACATGTCATTTTACCACACTCAGGATTTTACTATTACAGTGCTTTTACACCATATTGAAACCTCAGGTACTAAACTATTCAGGAACATGTTGTCAGTCTACTCAGTAAAAATGATTGTGCTGTGTTTGTTGTGCATTTCTGATTTGTATTTGACATTACCAGTTTGCCTTGACACAAAGACCTCATTTAAACCTCAGATGCCCTCAGTTTCTTAAACTCTCATACTACCTCAGTAACAAAAAACATCACAACAAAATAACTTTTCACTCCCTCGGCAGCAACAACGACACACACACACACTCACACAAACACACACAGGCAAAGGGTTTTCAGGCTTGCACACAAAAGCACACATCACACACCAGCAGAGGATTTTACTATTGGTGTACAAAAAAAGCATCATTGTAATTTTCTTTAAAAAATGTATTTGTTAAAAGCTGAAGTGAGACTCCTGGGAAAACAATGCATCCAATAGTTTACAACAACTTGATAAAATACTTGCTTTTTTAGGGTGTACTTCCTTATGAAATACTTGTTTGTTTTTTGGGTCTTTCTCATTTTTACTATATCATGGTTTTTCTCATTCTTACACTGTAAATTGTATGTGGGACACTCTTAATAAGTGTGATTTTTAAAAAAAACAAGGGCAGCAAATAACTTCAAGGTGCTGAAATACATGACAAGGTGGAAATAAATGGTGGAAAATAAGTAAATCATATTTCACACTGCATCTTTAACCATTATCTTTGTTGTTTTACTCATTTATGAAAGGAAAAAAGGTTGTTCCTTCATTTTTCTATATGGTCGTTATAAGACAGACTATATATTTTAGTGACCCGCAACAATTGGGCTACTATGTGATAGTTATGCTAATCGCAAAAATATATTATACCAGAAGAATAAGTATACATTTGTTGGTACCACTTTACAATAAGACTACCCTTATAAAGGATTCATAAAGGGTTTATAATTAGGTTAGTAATTAGGTTGTAAACACTTTATTAATCATTAAGAACCATTTATAAACCAGTTCTAACATAGTTTTCATACATCAACACAGGCTCACTATTTGGCAAGATGACTAAGCCTTATATTGGCTACTTAGCGAGAATCAACTCAGTGAGCAACAGATACCAAGGATGCTGGCTGATGAAGAAGACGAAGTAAGCTAGGTAGCCAATATAAGGCTTAGCAGTACAGATAAATGTGGGCTCACTATTTGGCAAGCAACCCGTCATAGTTGCCCTGTTTATCTCATGTCTTATAAAAGCTTATTAATGATTTATAAAGTGCTCACAACCTAATTAATAAATGAATTACAAACTATTCGTAAACCCTTTATAAGGGTAGTCTTATTGTAAGTGGTACCCATGTGTTAATAAATGACTCATTGATCAACCCATAGTTGTATTAAAGGGTGGGTTTTATTTCTTCTTAATTAAACTTTTAATTTGTGGTTCTTCTTTGTAACTTGTGGTTTCAAGTCATGCAGATAGTTTTGGTTTTTGACCAGTTCTGAGATATGTGTTTCTGAAACTCAAATACAATGGAAATTAATGGAATTCCATTTGTGGTCAACACTTGTGGTGTTTAAGAGAAATAAAACTATCTGAATGATGTAAAAAACACACTTTAAGGGTAACCCCTAAATATACTTTTTTATCTTTAATAAATCATCATAAATAATCACTCAGAGTACTTGGTAGAATAATAATGGTATTTTAAAGTATTCTTTCTATAATTTCCAATTGTTTAGTTATTTAAAAATAAAGAAGTTTCCAGGTTTACAGTAATGTTTTTAAGACCTTGGTGGTCAATATTTCTGCCCTTAAACTGACAGTAAGCTTATTGCAAATGTTTCATTTTTCATATCACTGATGGTATGTAATATCCCCATTTGTGTATGTATTTCAGCATTGTTGGGTAAATTGCTGCCATGGAGCTTAATGAATTTACAGACAGTTATGTTTTATTGTACAACTGCATTGACGTTACTTTTGGACTACCTCTAAAAAAACGAATAAGCCAAGGACGTCTCTGAAGAAAGTCTTTGGCTAGTGGTGTCTGACCTTTTCCACAGAACCTGCAGGCGATGTGGATCATGAAATCTTGAAATAATTGTCTAACTAGTACTGTTGTAGTCCACTCATCTCATCTCGCAACATTCACGTCACCATAATTAACGTAAGTCAGCCTGAAGGGCGCCTCTTAATTTAACTACGGCTGGGTTAGTGTTTGTTGTTTTACACAAGCTGTGTCTGGATATTTACTCTCTATAAGGGGACAACGTTGTTCTGTGATCTTACTGATAGTACATACAGTACTTGATCCATATTCAACTATTGAAAAGTTGAAGTGTAACTTGAGAAATCATCTTTTATGCCTTACTTTTAACACCATTTTGTAGTTATGTTATTGATGTGTCCTCATCCAATACATTAATACAACTCACAAACCTGTGATATATGTTTTGTAATGATTCTTTACCATGTGATTTGTGTTATTCTGCTTCTTTATCGCTTATCAATAAAATATCACACCCATCAACTCTTTTGTCATGGATTTGTACATCAAAACCTTTTTTCTTTCAAATTGGTTTAAATAGTTTTAATGTATACAGATGGTAACAGATCTTCTTTGCTCAATAAAGAGGAAACAAAACAGTGAGGGACAGCTCACTTAAGAATGAAAAACATCCAGAGTTTAAACTCATCAGAGACAAAAGACCACAAAATCAGTAAAACACAAGTGTATATTTCTCTCTTCAAACATGGAAGTAGATATTGAAGCTCAGAAGAACTTCACTGAAAAGCTACCAAACATTTTAACAGCAATGACGCTACATGATCCAAGAAAAGTGCATCCCACTGCATTTGTGTACCAAATAATAAAAGTGCAAGATCATATGTGATTCCTACCATTATACTCCCTTATCAAACATGCACCCTACAATTTGTTTTTGAAAACCACTTCGTCCTGTGTCAGAGTGATGAAAATGTCCTTCAAAGCCACAGTTGTCCTAAAAACACTCCAGTTTTCCCTTTGTTTTTCTTCCTGAGAGACAGTCTGTTTCTCGAGCATCAAACTGAAATGAACTAATGGAAGAGAGCCGTTAAGCGTTGAGAGCTTTCGCTACATCTGTGAAGACCAGACGACTGGGCCTCTGTGTCGTCCCCTGGGAGGTTGTGAGAGTCTGCAGGGGAGACAGATGGGACATAAAACTGTCGGTTACATCAAGATCACATGTTGGCTCTAGTCTTTAATTGTACAACTCAACTTGGAAATGGTGATGATAGCTAGTTGCTCATTTCAGGACCATCAAATAAGTGAAATGTGACTGATAACTCATACCAGAGAAAATGTGTTAGGGTCAGAAGCCATGTGCAAAACCATGGTATGCCAACTGTTTAGGATTCATTTGTATATACATACTCTCATTTGTACTAGAAAATGTGTGTGATTATGTATAAGAATATTAATAAGGCAAACCTCCATTCTAAAATGTAGCTAAATGAATGTAATGCAGATGTACATATAGCCACATAATCGTTGTATGCCAGTGCCAAAGACATATTTGTATTTTATGCAAATATAATGGCCATGTTTGAGATGCAGTTGAAAGCTATGAATGAGATTTTGAGTTTAAGTTCATCTTACGAAAAATTAAAACTGTAATTCTTTATGTTTGTTTCTTTATAACTACTTTATGTGTGTACACATACATGGATGGATTTGATTTGAACACAAAATGAGGAAATCTGTTATGATCGGAGTATTAAGTTGAGGGAGCAAAAAAAGGAAAGGATGAAAGATAGTATGACTGAGTGTGATTGTGTGTGTCCTCTGTTAGCATACTCTAATACAAATTAGATCTTATAATATGACAAACATCTAACTAACTTGTTTAAAGGGGACCTATCATGCAAAATGCACTTTTGTACGTCTTTTATACATGAATATGTGTCCCCGGTGTTCCAGGGAACTCACCAAGTGTCAGAAAACACAACCCTCTCTATTTTCCTCCATACCCAAATCTCTAAAAAAGGGGCTGCAACGGATCTGATAAAAACTGATCCAGATTTGAACACGTTACTGACGTCAGGACGGTGGCGCTACGGCTATTGGGCCAACTCTCCACCTATCAGGGGAATGTGGGGTTGGGCCACGGCCGGCCATTGCCGCTCGAAAGCGCTGGAGACGCTGTAGTACATATGCCAGGCCTGTAAGTGGCGCTGTAGTCTGCCACAAAAGCAGCGAAGAAGACTTCCCGCGCATGGTTACCATGGTTACCCTTCTGTTTATTCTCCGCTGTGGCTTTTTTTCTCCCTCCCCGAGGCAAGCGTTTGCTCCCGCTGCTTTAATTCAATGCAATCCCTCCCCGTCGAGGCAAGCACTGTAATTCTCTCCGGTTAGTCCACCAGCAGATGACAAACACCCACCTCTCCGCCTCTTCCAAGGAACGAGGGGACCGTGCGGCAGAGTTTCAGTTAGGTTTTCTTTCGCCGGTCAAGATGTCCGTTAAAGTTTAAATCTTCCGGACAAAATTAGAAAAGTGCCGGTCAAAGGTCTTCTTTGTTATTTATTGAGCTTTAAAACAAATGAATAACGACTCTATATAATAATAGGCTATAATAAAACACGGAGGACGGAGATCTATTTTTCTCCCCCTCTTCTGACTTGATCAGAGCGCGCTCCCCTCTCCTGCAGGGGGGCGTGGTCAGCTGCAGCTCACAGAATCAGCCCCCTGCAAAAACAGGGCTGGAGAACAGCAAATAGAGCGAAATGAGGCATGGCTAAAATGCATGATCTGTTTGGTATTTTGACAACAGAAATGTATAAATATACCTTATATAGGTATGGCCCTACAATATATCATTTAAATATAGCATGATAGGTCCACTTTAAGTTTGATGAACGGAAACAATGAGAGAATTAGGATTGGGAGGAAAAAAGAGGTTTAGAGAGATGTTTCAAAGACACTCAGGTGATACTTTACCATGCTTGCCTTTTACCATTATGCCATTGTCAAAACTTAAAAGAAATCAAAAGAAAATAATGATAAGTTTTGACAGGAAAAACATGGACATTAAGAGATTAACATCTAATAGTGGAATACAAAAATAAAATAAAGCACATATGTACTGACATGTCAACAAATAGAGACTCAACTAAACACTGGGGAATTTTGATAGAAGTTTGTTATCTATGACAGGAAACATTGTTTATGTCATTGTAACTTGGTTATCGTGGCTTTTGCGGTCCTCCCCACTTGTGGTCTGAATAGGAACATTTATTCTAGATAAGACAGAGAGATAGGACATTGGTTCCTGAGAGAACCTCACCTTGGCATTGGGACCCGCGAGGCTGCCGTCCCGGCCGTGATCCAGTAGTTCCTGTTCCAGCAGGTCGTCTTGTTCTTCAGCCGGGTCAAAGCTGTACATGGGCATGAGCTGGTGCCTCAGCTTCTCCAGCCTGTAAGACAAGAGTTGAGAGGTGAAGTGAAGTCAGCATTTAGGTGAAAATAAATGTTGCCGAGTTGCACTGTTGGTTTAAAATGTTTGTTATTCGCTAAACCCTACTAACTGGATTTTGACACAGGGCCCCTCTTCACTACTCTGCCACATAATGACCTAAAACTGCCAGAATTGTCTTGGTTGAAACTATGTTTTAGCAGAGATGGAACAAGAACACTACTATTTTAATTCAGCAAGGGCAAAACTACAGTGCAGAAATACTCTACAACACATATAAGTCCTGCATTCAAAAGTGTACATAAGTAAAAGGATAAGAATACAAATATAGTTAAAGTACCAAAAGTAAAAGTCCTATTTTTATTAATGCCCCATTTCAGAACTAAATGAAGGAATTGTATGCTTAATCATGTTTTATTATTATAGTAACTGTTAAATAAGGAGCTTTTTTTTGTTTTGTTTTTTTAAAAGGTACCATGAAAACGTCCAGATAGTTTGTGGATTTCAACATAGGAACCTGTAATAATACTACATACATTGTTTTATGATTATAATTTTGCATCATGGATCTGAATCTTCAAATTAACTAAAGTTATCAAATACATTTAGTGGAGAATGAGTATAATATTCCCTCTGAAATGCACTTGATTCAAAGTTTAAGGTTGCAGGACATTGAAATAAAAGTTGTATTGTAGTATAGTACTTAGATAAATGTATATAATTACTGTCGGAAAATAATACTGATACCAATTGGCATGTTATAAACTAAGGCTGGTTGTAATAAACTAAGGTAGGTTGTGGGATCAGCTAAAATAAGTATTTGTAAACGTACCGCTTCCGTTTCCGAATATACAGCATCTAGGATGAAGAAAAACAGATATAATGACAAAAAGGCGGTGGACTTAAAATAAAAAAACAAAGTAAATGACTGAGTGCAAGTATAAACACATAACAGTATGTGTGTCAAGACAAATACACACTTATTGATATAAACAACATCGATTTGGTCAAGACATTCCAGTTCATTTAGAGATTAATGCTACTTAAGAGACAATATCTAAATGATTTCTTACTATTGCCACTGCCAAGCCGATGACAGTGATGATGCCAAAGGGTACGAGCACCATTCCCATTCCCGAGCCCTCCATCACGGCCTCTGGGAACGAGGTGGCATTGAAGCTGGTCTCGTTTGCTGTGATAGTAACAGTCATTAATGTCGTTCTGGAGGTGACATTGTCTCTGACGCCCTTGCTCGTCGAGAGGAAGGGGATTGCTGTGGTCGTGGCAGTTGTGGAGAAAAAACTTGGAGTTGTCTTAGCTGCAGTTACGGCCATGGTCAGGTGCAACACTTTTAACTGAAGGATGTATTTTGGTTCTTTGTGTGGACGTTGCTGTGTCGCTCAGCCTCTAGTGCGTCTCATGGTGGACACAGGTGACTTCTCTCTGGTTTGAGCATTGATGGGGCTTCGCAATTTCATCTGGAGAAAAAACTAAAACAACAGTTTATGATTAATAAAGGGTTATTGTAGGAAGCATGAATAAAGGTAAAGCGTTCTTTTAACTGCAGCCAAAAACTAAAATATGTCCAATTTGCTTCTGTGCACTGATTATTCTCAAAATGGTTGAATTAAAGAAAATTCAGTTCTGACACATCTCACGCTTAATTTCAGTTGTGGTGGGTGTTTTTGGGCAGGATGTGGGTAGCAAAGGCAGAGAAGTGGCATAACAAACTTGATAAAATACCAAGGAATACTAACCACTTAAACTGTAACATGCACTGTGAGGAAATGTGTTGGCAGCTCTTTCAAAACGGCAAATTTAAACTTACACCCACACACACGCTACCACACACACTTCCATAAATATCCACTATACATCCAGGTACATGTGGCCTACTTCACACCCACACATACTGTAAACATCCCATGAGAGACAAGCAATGCATCCTGAGGATTTACACATATGAGTTTTAAGACATTTCCTTTGAAAGCAGAAACAAGACATGATCCATTCCTCTCTCCTTGGTGCATCCTGTCTGCTTGTGCCCCTAATGAGGACCATGTGCAGCTGAAGCAAACAACCAATGAAAACCAAAGGCTGGATTTAGTCATTGCTAGTTGTCTAGTTAAACATTCCTGCACAGCAACCAGACATGAGCATGCAACGTCTTTGTTTGAATGATGGTATGACCTTATTACTGTGTTACTGGTGTTATTTGTAGTCGAGATGCACTGTATCTCAGCAGTCCTGTCCAAACAACTGAGCTCATAATCCTGCCAACGTGACCAGGTCCTACTCCATGTTCCCTCTCAGATTAGAGCTGCATACGTACCTTAACATACAACATGCATGACTTCAGATGTGAGCTGCGGCAGGCCAGGGTTAGCTAGAGAGGGGAAAATGTCATTGGAAGAGGCAGCATTTCCTCCAGTGGCTGCCCCTCCTCCTATTCTGCTTCCCCCTTTAGCAAAGCAGGTACTGCACAGGCTGTTTACATTGACAAAAACAAAGCCATTTTCTGTGAATATGGACTCCACACACCAGAGTAACCCTATCCCAGCAGCCTCAAAAAGATCCCCTTCCCATTCTCCGGTTTCCTCTTCGGATCAACCCCCCTCCGCTTTGCCCTTTCTTGTATTTCACACAACAGAGGCTGATCCAGGGATGCTGCAAACAGAGATCAGCGCGGATAACTCCCTCCCCCGCAGCCCTGTGATTGGTCCGATGGCTTCAAGTGAGAGATGCAGTTGGCTCCTTCAACTGTCTGTCTGGCTTTGCAGGGATGAGAATGGGATTTAATGGCTCTGCACACCAGATGCTGTCAGACCCAAGTGAATGACTGCATCCGGGTGGAAGCTCTAAGGAAATTAACCCTGTCTTGTCTTTTCTTTGACTCTTAATAATCTGACCATAACAAAACAAACAGTAAACATTATGGGGTGGATTTAAAACAATTGCTATTTGTAATTCCCCTAAAACTGTTATTTTTTTCCTGTAGAATATTCAAATTACCAGTGTATTTGAAGCAGGATCAAGCATTACAAATAAATCAATTATTGATCATGTTCTTTAATTTATTTTTATTAGGCCTGCCGATAAAAATGGTGCGTTGATGTTTATTAGGATGCATTGGTTGACGTTGTATTTTGTATTCTTCCAGTGGGATATAAGATAAGATGTACTTTATTGATCCCAAATTGGGAAATATTTTCGTTGCAGCAGCATACAAAAACAAGGCATTGCACATCATTAGAAATTAAAAGATTAGAAATAAACAATTCTAAAATATAAACATCTAAAAATATAAATAAACCGGCATTAGAGAGTAGAAAATATACAGTTGACCGTGAAGATAACAAATCTATAAACTATCTGATAAATAAAACACTATTGAAGGGCCAATTTTCAGTTAACACAATATAAAGCAGGATATTATTTACATTAAGTGTGTAATGAATGGAGAATTAAATTAAATATACATTTTGAAGTTAACCAAAGAGAATCTATGGAGCAGTTAGTTATCTGCCAGCCAGAGGTGATTTGTTATACAGAGTTATTGCAGAACCTTATCTTATCTTATGTGATTGCACACATTTCAGTTTGTTAGACATAATGGTAAATATGTTAAGAACTTTATCATGAATTGACTTGTTTTATAATTGTGAGTGAATGTAACAACAGTTGCAGAGTATCCACAAGTTCTTCGGCTCATTTTGAATGAGTCCCCATCAGTCATCATGGCCACAAATTCTGAAAGATTTTAAATAAGCAGTAAATATTTTTGTAACGTACTTTATACATTACCACCCAATTTCAATCATATTTTGGATGTGTGTGTGTGAGATGCAACTATGCTTTTTATGAACTATATCCCATTATAAAAAACACGGTGAAACACTGACACCTACTGTTTGATGTGGCAGGCTGCAGTTAAGCAGAATACTGCAGTATTAGATAATATTTTGTTTTATTATAATGGTTTGGAAGATGTTGCTCGCCTAAAATGTGTGCTATTAATCTAGATTGGCATTTAAGATCCAGTTTTGTTTCACATAATAAATTGGAAGTCAAGGTGACATACTGGCACAGGTGCTTGTAGTCGTCTAACTATTATTATTTCAAAGAATGTCAGAAGGTCAAAGAGCCAAGCTAAATGTATTTAAGAGAAAGATACACATGTGGTGTTGGCAGTCAATGCAGATTTATATTTACCATCTTTGGCCATCTGGCTGAGCTCTCTCTCTTTAGGATTGATCCCGATTAAACCCATCAGCCTCTCCAGCTCCTGTGTCTTCACATCTCTATTTCACTCTTCATCAAACATCTCAAACACTCCCTTGTACTCGGTGATCTGCTCTTGTGTTAACTTGCTGGCCTGGAAGAATATAAGTTTCAGTATTTGACTTTAGTTAGTAAGTTGTATCAAGAGGAGAAAATATCCGTGCAGCAACATGTCTGGAATCACTCCATGAGGAATTTATATTAGAGTTTGTTTTGTAAGTAGTATGTGAAGTTAATTGCTTTGTCATAGTTTCTCACCATTTTCTGTCATGGTTCAAACAAAACGGAGGGCAAGCACTGTGGCAACACTTACAGTAGAATGAGAGGATGTCGTAGCCTCGTCATTACTGCCCTTTTAATGTAATGCTCCTTCCCCAGAGTTTAGAGCAGCAGGCTTTGTGGCCTTTTATGGCACTTAAAGGATGGACTGGCTTATCACCCATGAGGAATATTTGAATAGGGATCTCAACTAACAAATTGTAAAAAGCAAAGTTATACTTGGATATAAAATATAACTGGTTTGGTAAACTTGTAATAAGTTAAAATGGGACGTTATTCTAAAAGTTACCAAGACAAAAGAAGATTCAAGGTAAGGAATTGTGAAAAATATCAAATGCATTTTCTGACCTCAACATCACGTGGTCCACTTATGGGAACTGCAATTAGCTTGCAGTTAGCCATTAGCAGGTGCTTTGGCAGCCTCCAGTGACTTGCATGAAAGCAGACAACCAAATAGGATGCACTTAACTACAAGAAGTTATTTCCAACATTGCAATGGGAACATTACAAATTTCACATTTGTTTGTCAAGAGATAGGAATATGAATCTCTGTATGCCATATGCATAAAGTAAAATGCAAAATATATCTTGATAAAATACAATTGGAATAAAACAAAACACCTTAATGGGTACAATAAAACAAGATGAAACTGTAACATATTTAAAGATAAATAAAGGTAGGTATTTGGAGTTATACTTACATTATCTGGTAGTCAGCAAGGTAATCAGGACAATTGTATTTTTCTACCTAATCCAATATTCTATTTTTGTATGCTAAGTGGAAAAAATATTAAGGTTTGGCCATAGTTTTAAAGAAAGAAAGACTACCAACGCCATGAAGGTTTTGATCAATCTCGTAGAAAAATGTAGGAAGAAAAGCTGATAGTTATAATTTGATGATCAAAATACTTGCCAATTTAACTAAATTCTAGTCTCTGTGGGCTCTTTCTGATCATCACAACTCAGTGGGAGAAGTTTGGTCTAAAAATGACAGATGAAAAACATTTTCTCATACATTTCAATATCTGTATAAAGGTGCACTGAGAACTATGATCTACAAAGCAATGTTGCTTATGGTCCGGCGAAGCAACAAGGAAATACTTTTGCATATAAGATGGCCTTTGTTGAAAATCGATAAACAAAATATTAAAATGTAATTCATCTAATGAGGGTCTAAATCTGGATATTACTGGGGAGCCGACAAGCAGACACATTTAGCCTATTGGACGTTGAGGAGATACACAATGCTGTGTGGGCTAGAATAAGAATTTGTCTTATGTGGGGATGAACCGGGGATGAACTAAAGGTGTCCTTAACAAATGCAGGGATTATAACAAATGTAAGGGAACTGGTTTTGGATGAAAGACAAAAGATAAACTAGAAGAGTATGATTTAAAGCAACAGGTTTTAATTCCCCTACAACCAAAGTAGGCCTAGTGTCCCACCCACCATTAGTATTTCCAAAGGTGATGTTGGCTGTAAGGCAAAATAGGACATTGTGCAGATCAGCATACCTATATAGGTAGGCTAATATTTTATTATATTTTCTGATGGCTCAAAATATCAAAATGATCGAACAGGAGTTTGCATTCCACAATTCCAATTTCCAATTAATTGAGACAACATATTGTTTTGTAGGCTACGCTAGAATTGAGATGCACATATATTACAAACGAGAAGAGCTACATTTTGTTTAAAATGATCGATTATCTCCAGATTTAGATAATAGAACACCGATCTGTGGTTTCTACCCATCGTCGCTGCTGCATCGTGGGGTTTCCCAGCGCTGACTGCAGGGTTACCGCGCCCATCTCGTCGTTCGATGGCCGGACGAGAGTGAACCTACTTCGGAAAGGGCAGATGTTAAACTGGGCAAAAGGAAGACAGTAGGCTGTCTTGTTGAATGAGGTATAGTGACTTTTAAGATTCGCCTTTTTGTACGCCTGTGTGCAGTGTCTTCAGTGCACAGCTAGTGGGTGTGATACCCCCTCCTCCCCTCCCCTCCCCTCCCCTCTCCGGTTGGTTGACTGAGGTTGTCAAGCTCCCTAGCCGTAGTGTTCGGGAAGGGCTGCTCCTCGGAAAACTACCGCTAGCTGGCTAGCTAGTTAGTGAGCTAGCGTTGTGGTGTTCGTTGATGCGTGGATCGGAGGTATACACCGTCTTGCTTTCCAGTCAATGCCAAAACCCAAAAACAAACGCAAATTGAATCAGGTAAGGAGAAGAAACAAAGTAAATGTATGCTGTTTCCATACCTTCCACAGAAAGCGTTAATACCATTATCTGATTAATTGTGGCGGAATTGAACGGTCCGGGGGTGGGGTAGCAGCGATAGCTAGTTAGCTTCCTAGCCATTTAGTTAGCTGCGGTTGGCTAACGTTAAGTTAAGTTAAGGCAGTTTTATCATGAGCAAATACAATTGGCTAAGGTACAAAAGTGTCTGCAGCGGTGGATCATGATGCTCAGTATTTGCGCTGGTTAAACAGATTGCAGCGAAACGTATCTTTACATAAGTGCATTTAGTCTATCTACTGTTAATGGCAGCGAGAGCTGGCGCTGAAGTAACGTTAGTGTTGGCCAGTGAGGTTTTCATATCAGCGATGGCCCTGCTGCTCCCTGGCCTAAACTACAGTAGCCTACTTAAAAGTACTAGCTAGTTAATGCCAAAATGGTATTGAAGACAACTGCAGTGATATTGTCAGCAGCTTAGGCTTCATGGGTTGATTTACACTCAAAATGTTACATTTAGAGACATTGCTGTGAGTTGATGATGACACACTGGGTTGGGCTGGAACAATAAACGTCCCGTAAACAAATTTACAACAAATATTGGTTATTGGCAATAGCAGAGCAGCCATAATCACTATATGACGTGAACATTGCACCCTTTATACATATCGGCTATGTGTTATTAATGAGAGTTATTGGAGCGCGTTAACACCCCTTTTTTTCCTTTTCTTTTTTTTTTTTTTACAAGCCGAAGTAATAAGTTAGCATATTGCTGCCTTCCTGCAACGAAACGGCGGCGCCGGTACAACGCCTTTAACTTAGGTTTGTAACGTTAGTTATTTATCTCCAGTTAGCCAATTGGCAGTAATACAGCGATGGATGAAAGATGGTCATCTACTTAATGAAAATTCACCCGCATCTGTTATTGCATTTGTTGCTTACTGAAGTCAAACAGGCCATCGCCTCCCGACCTTGCAGTTTTTACTGGCTCGGGTTCACTTCAGGATTAGAAAACCAAATAAATAAAGTGTTAACGTTAATCAAATCATCCGTGCACCGCCGGGTTTAACAAGATTGCACGTATATATCTAATTGGATTTCTGGAGGCCAAGCAACCACGTAGTTTCCAGGTTTACCCACTAAGCTAACTACATAGCATTCCGTGTAATTGCGGAAGAGCAGCTGAGTCTACCCTTTAGTGACTGGTTGCGATTTTTTTGCATTAGATGCTACGAGCTATTTGATTGTTGGTCTCGAAATTCAACTTACTTGTACCGACTTTGCTTGCTTACCGGTAATTGTTAAATACCAAGCGACATTCTTACTAATACAATGTCGCTATTTTTCTTTCTTGAATACTTGCTCTGCCTGTAGGCCTACACTCTCAAGCCTGCTAGCAAGCTAACTAGCAGCAATCTGCAAGATGGCGTTTAGTTGCATCTCCTCAGATTTCCATCAGTGCAAGTCATATTATCATTACACTGTGCATCCTTGAGTACATTTAAAAATTCGATTAGAGGAAGTCAGATACTTAAAGTGCAATCCTTATATTTTGCCACACAATGGTGCTGAGTTTTTCCCGGATATATGTGCCGAGCTATGGTAGCCCAACCCTCTTAAAAGAGTAACAAACTGACTGAAACAGCTAGCCAGCAGCCATTCAAATACAATGCAAACTAGTCTACTGTTGTAGGCAAATCACAGTACTGCACACAGTGACTAAGTCAACTATCAGTACAACACATACAGATTTCAGATGTCTGTTCACAGACATCATTTAGAACATGCGAGTTAGGTATGTTGATACAGTAGCTATTGTACTCTAATATGTTATATCTATCCGCCATACAGTATCTTAAGACATTTAATTTATATTATTGTGTGAGTAAGAAATTCGAAAATTGATTAATTATAAAAATTGCTTCATTGCAAGTGCAACTTTATCCTATTTTATTAAAGTAAGGCTGGTTACATTGGAAAACTAGAAGGGAGTGACCGTACTGTAATAGGCTTGAGATCTCACTGCAAGTGCCTGGATTTTCACACTGAAAATCCAGCCACTTGCTTTAAGCATGCTGTGTGTAAAAGAATTAAGATTAATATCATCCTTTTATGATTGGGAAACATATTTCTAATGCTGGACCGGCTTTGCCAGCTGTTTATGTTAGTGGACACGGATAGGATTAGAGACTCGTTGACGGAGGATTTTAGCTTTTAGGATTATGTAGTTGCTCAGTGATATTGCTGGTTATGGCTTTCTCTATGATCCAGCTTTAGACCTGTGGAATATTGCATTATCATCGTTTAACAGTACAGATAAGCAGACTTGGCCTTTTGAGAACGGATGTAAACTCATGCAGAGAAATGTTTTAGTGGAAATGCAGGAGACACCTTTTTGAAAGTAGCAGGAACAGACTGCCCTTAAGGGACCTGGGAATAAGCTACTGAGCTACAACTCCAGGCTGTTTGCCACTGCTCATTGTTTATCATGCAGTCAGCTGACCCTGATCAGGCGCTTGGAAAGGAGAAGTGATGAGGGAGAGGAACTCCTTAACTGTAAGCATCCACAGAGGTCAATGTGAAGTACTTAAAACTCTGTCCTTTTCTAACATCACTCCAGGCTATCCCGCTTTTGGATTTACAATAACAGTTTTATGGTTTGGTAAACCACATTTAAGTTAAAAAATAAAATAAGCAACTGTTTAAGTGTTATTTTGAATCGTACAGTATTTTTAATTGTAAATCACTATGGCCAAATGAAAGTTATTTTAGATAGTGTGTTCTGTGTATGTCTGTTCATGCCAAAAACATAAGGATTCATTATACTGTGTAGAGACAGATAACACAAGATAACATAGACTTGTTTGGGCATTGGTAAACTTGGTTATCTGCTAACAGTTGTATTTCTGTCATTTTGGGAATATTGTGTTTAAATCACAAAGCAAGAATGGCATTCTGCTGTCACGATGTGAGGATATTGTTTGGAAAGTACATTTGATGACACCCGTTTCTATAGATGAATGGGTATATGTTTGGAAAGTACATTTGATGACACCCGTTTTTATAGATGAATGGGTATAGGAGGGTAACCTGTATTAAAATGCTCCTAAAGGATAACATGGTCAGGTGAAGAAGATTTTCAATGTTGTTCTATAACCTCCAGTGACATAAGTCTACTGACAGGACTACAGCAGGTGAGTTAACTGGGGAAGGCAGGGTCGGTCAAACTGAATTGACACCGCTGTTCGCAATCCGCGATAAATCTGGATGAGATTTTAGTTGTAATTCCGAGTTTATTAGCTGTGCTTGTATTTTTTATATAAAACATTTTAATATTGCAAGTTGATTTGCTACACGCATTATGCAAATACCAAGGGGGACAATACGTCTCTTATAAAGACCGCTTTAAATTAACTCAACTCAACACTGCAAATCCTTTGTTTTGTGTTGTTAAGGTATATGGAATCATCTGATTTATAACCATGAAATCCTCGTCTTTGAACATTGTCAAAGTATAATTACAATGAATATTCCTAAACATAATTCACATATTGAAAAAGTCTGAGCACAAGGATTCTCATATGTGTCACAGAATGCTGCAGAAATTGACATATAAAATGTACTCCATACGTTTTTATTCTGAAACACAATCCATGTAAATAAAGTTAGTATCTTGTAAAGGACACTATTATGGCTGGAGCAATTGTCATTTTTCAAGCTTCCTTTAACTAAATACATTAAATAACTTTAATGAAATTACTTCAAATAGTGTATCGCTTTGATGCGTGATACTTAATTTAGTTCTAGATATTGTTATTATATTTGGAACATGCTTTTTGGGTCGCAGGGATTCAGATGAACGGGATAATGCTGGCAAAACCTGGCAATCTCAACTCTGCAGCAGGGTTGTGGTAACGATATTAAGATCGATACCTGTGCCAACGAAAGTTGGCTAAACTGACAGCAATCCGCCTCTATCATTCCCTTCACCCGCTAAGATATATTATTTTGTTATGCTTTTTTGTTTATGTTAAGTATATATTCTGCAATTTGTGCAAATGATTAAAGTGCTACTCTTTCTTTTTCTTTTTAGATCAAAAAGTGCCCCAGTAGTTGGAGTAAGGTAACTGAAAAAGCAGAATAAAATGAGTGAACTGGACCAGTTACGCCAAGAGGCTGAGCAGCTCAAACATCAGATCAGAGTGAGTAACGAGCCTTTTTTTTTAATCTGCCATACAGTCAAAACATTAATATAAAAATAACAATTTACAAGTTAAGTATGTATAAAAAGAATAGATGTGAGAAAATCCTGCCCCTAAAGATTGGATTTTGTTCTTCCTTTCAGGATGCCAGGAAAGCATGCGCAGATGCCACACTATCACAGGTAACATTTAGCATTATGGGCTTTGTTTAATGTAGAAAAGCTTTTGTTCTGAAATTAACCCGAGTACCTGATGTTTTGCAGATCACAGCTAACATTGACCCCGTTGGCCGAATCCAGATGCGTACAAGACGAACGCTGCGGGGTCATTTGGCTAAAATCTATGCCATGCATTGGGGAACAGATTCCAGGTGAAGTGACTTGTTGTGTTGTATCCTGATCCTGCTTTATGTCACATGTTGAGCAAAGTGCACACATAAGAAAATCGCTAAATGTAATGAGTTGTTACACTGATGTAGTTTCCGTCATATAACTATATTTGTTTTTCAACCCCGTTGCAGTCCTGTCCCCTTTGCTTTTGTCTCATGATTCTAGATAAAAATAGATTTTGTGTGACGACTGTGATTGTTGTGTTGGTGTTAATATAGCTGTTCTCATTTATGTAGGCTCTTGGTCAGTGCCTCTCAAGATGGAAAACTCATTATTTGGGACAGCTATACCACAAATAAGGTAAGTTGTGTTTCCTTAACAGGGATTTCTGAAGTAGGGGTTGTTGAAAATACAAAAGCCACTCTGTGGCATTTATTTGCAAAGTAGTAACAACAGCAGTTGATACTTGCAGATGTCAGTTTTGCTTTGAATATGCAAATAAAGTAATAGTTGCTACATTTCTAAAAGAAACCTGCAGGATACAGCTGAATAATATAAATATTGGGTGTATCTTTGTTAAATGTTTCATATTGTTCCTGCTGCACTTAATTTTGCAGCATGCTTCTATTTTCGTGGAACTCACAAGGTTATACTAGAAATAGAGGGAAGGAAACTAACTATCTGCCTTATGCTGCATTCATTTGGATAAATCTGAAAGGGTTGCAGATCAGCTGATAGAGAAGCATTTGTGGCCTTTGCCTTGGGGCTGGTGTGTCGGGTGTGCTGTTATCGGGATGGGTGGAAGTGGATAGAAGTTTGTGTACCAGGCAATTTGGCCCTCTTAAAGTTAAAACCATTTACAATCAGTTTGATGAAGCAAGCAATACGTCACACTGGGAATTAATAGATCAAAGAGTAATTCTTCCAATGTATCTCTAGACCTGCTGAGAATATAGCAGGCCACATGTAGGTTAGAATTGTATATGGATTATCCTTTAAAGTGAGTTTAATGGCATAATGTTGTCCCCATAGTGCTATAATAATGTCAAAGTCCTCTTGGATATTTCCTATCAATCTCTTTCATAAAAGATTGCCTTCTTAATTTGTCAATTCTGACTTGTTTAGTTACTAGACTTGTAAAACTAGCAACTGTAATAACACTGGGTTAACTGTTTTGTTCTAGGTTCATGCCATCCCACTTCGATCTTCCTGGGTCATGACCTGTGCATATGCACCTTCAGGAAATTATGTGGCCTGTGGTGGCTTAGACAACATCTGCTCCATTTACAACCTGAAAACCCGCGAGGGGAATGTACGTGTGAGTCGTGAGCTCGCTGGACATACAGGTATATGATACACTCTGCTCATTTTCTATTTCTAGCTGTGAATCTGACATGAAATTCCATATCAATAACTCTATCGATTCTTTGAATATCAGGATACCTGTCCTGTTGTCGCTTTGTTGATGACAACCAGATTATTACAAGCTCTGGGGATACCACTTGGTGAGTAAAAGGATGGCCCTCCTTAAGTTGCTTTACCATGTTGCTGAGTCACCATTTTTGGGCCAACTCTTGAATGTTGGAAAAATGGGTGTCTGATTTGGTTATTTTATTTTATAGTGCACTTTGGGACATTGAGACTGGCCAGCAGACGACCACATTTGCTGGACACACAGGCGATGTCATGAGCCTGTCGTTGGCCCCTGACACACGGTTATTTGTCTCTGGTGCTTGTGATGCCTCTGCTAAACTCTGGGATGTTCGAGAGGGCATGTGCAGACAGACATTCACCGGCCATGAGTCTGACATCAACGCCATCTGTGTACGTAGTTTTTCTTGTACTTGATTTAGCATTTTGGGATGTGTTCCGTTTGATATAGATGTACTTTTTGTTTTGTTTTCCTCTATTGTGCATTAATGATTTCTCTTTTTGTAATTTTTCTTTTTTAGTTCTTCCCTAATGGCAATGCCTTTGCCACGGGCTCCGATGATGCCACCTGCAGGCTGTTCGATCTGCGTGCTGATCAGGAATTAATGATCTACTCTCATGACAATATCATATGTGGCATCACCTCTGTTGCTTTCTCCAAGAGTGGCCGCCTTCTTCTGGCCGGATATGATGACTTCAACTGTAACGTGTGGGACACACTAAAAGCCGACCGCGCTGGTACGTAGCTTAAGCATAGCTCAAATAGAAGCCCTTTCTTTGCAACATGTAGAATTATGTTTCAAGAATATCCGTTCGTCAATAATGGATAAAATAATTTACCTGCCTTTTTTGTCATGTAGACTCGATAACAATTTTTGTATTTTTCTAGGTGTGTTGGCTGGACACGACAACCGCGTTAGCTGCCTGGGAGTTACTGATGATGGCATGGCAGTCGCGACAGGATCCTGGGACAGTTTTCTGAAGATCTGGAATTGAAGCCTGAAGGTTTATATTTTTAAAACATTATTATTGTTTGTCATGTTCTTACATTTGTACCGAAGCTATTTAATTCCTAGTAAGGTCCAAAGCCTGTAGCAGCATAGCATCTTCTTGTACTCAAAAGTACCACGTGGGTGAAATGAAACATCTTTACATTTCTTAGTTTTATGTTGGACTGCATATATAAGCTTGAATCAATCTAGATAAGCATCAGAACAACTACCAGTATATATATATTTTTTTAAAGCTACATTTATTTCACACCAGACATGCTGTATCTTAAAAAGTGTCCAATTGGAGCCCCACAAAAAGTATCTACAGTCACTTATAGTAATATGAAATAGAACTTTGAAAAAGGTTGTTTCTTTTGTCTTTTAAAGCCTTGGAAAATAATATTATTATGTATGAACACCATGTTTATGTTTTAAAGTTGTTATTTACACCAAATTCTTTCACCAAACGTTTTCTTTTGAATACATTCATAAAATACTTACTACATTTGGCAGCCTCCTTTAATTCCAAACATGTTACACTTGCTCTGCAGCAGGTTGCAGCCTCCTTAATGTTTAAGCTAGTCTGTGTCATTACATAGCTTTTTGTCAGACCTTTGCTTGTTAGGTCCTAAAATCACATAACTTTAAATTGGCATATAGACTAGATCAAGTCAGACAAGATACATTCTAAAATGCCTCTGTCTTTGTTCCCAGATGTTCTTTTAACTCCAAAGTTGACTGGAAGACCATTACAACTTCAGAATGTTCACAGCATCTTCTTCAACACTGTTTAAACGGACTTGGACACCACAAAAACGAAGGGAAACCAATGCCTTTCCTACACAAAGAAGAGCACAATTGTTTATCACCTAGTTAAGAAAGGATCTCCTGTGGTATCAAATCAGAAACTTGTGCATTCCTTCTTGGACCATTTTATGTTACCTTGAAAGAGAAAACAACACTATCATCCCATGCAAATGTGTGCGTCTTGAAAGCAAATGTTGGAGTGTAATTGTACAAATTATTTAACTTTTTTTTTTTTTTAAGAATTCTATTCTGATGGTTTGTTATTCTTGATGGCTTTCCTTTTGTCATATTTCTTTAGTGGTTTTAGATATGTTTGAATTACAGCTTGTCATTCTAATCCAGTTTAATCATATACGACAGAAGAGAGTAAACATGCAGCAAGTAAAAGCTTGGATCATATTACACGAGCAGCTTTCAAAATGTCCATGATGTATTTATATACTAGCTGTTTTTGTTTCATCACAGCCTTTTGCACATGAAGAAGCTTTGCCTCTAAACTAATACTATGTTAACTAACCAAGCACATGCTATAAGTTATGAATGCTCATTCCAGTACAAAAGGAGTTATTACGAGTAACTTATCCAGTTAACCCCCTTAATTCTTGTACATGCCTTTGACTTTGGGTGGGAAGGGGTGGGGTAGCAAGGTAGGTGCTGAGATAATTGGGGCATGGCTGGATTTTATTATATGGATGGGGGGGATGTGTGTAGTATCCACTTTGAGTGAAACACCTCACCTGACTAAATAGACACTTCCTTTGCTTGGGACTGCAGTTGCAACTCTGTGAATGAAATGTACAAATCAATGTCTGAAAATAATGGTCTGATGTTTTAAGTTGACATTTAATTTTGTCTGCCATGAGTTAATTTAGATGTGCATGCTGTAGACTTGCTTTCAATGGTGCAAAATCCTAGATTTTTTTTGTTTTTGTTTCTGAAAATGAGAGTAACCTATTGATTGAACTTAACACAAGCCAATTTTTGGCTCAAATTCTGCATACATCATGTACTAATACTGGTAACGCTATGCACCAGAGTAAGCAAGAATGGAGAAAAACTTAATATTGACTGCATACTTAGTGTAAATTATGCTTACCAGTTCTATTGATGCCAATTTTTGTAATAAATATAACAATCATTGTGAGAATTCTATCCTTGACAAACCTTTTTCTCTCCTTCAAATCCTCACACTCAATGGAACAAAAGCTTCCTCACATACTGTCCATACTAAAACTTTTGTACATTTTTGTTCTTGGTCTTAAATTAAAAATCAGAGCATCTGAATGACAACATTTCACTGTATACAGAAGCACTTTTGTTAAAGTTGTGACATATTTTCACTTTTCTTTTTTTCTGCGATGATGTACAATAAATGTGATGTATTCGTGTGTGGCCACAAGTGAAAATGCAATTCAACTGAGATGGATTCCCTTTTCTTTCCATTAATATTATAGAGCTCTGCACCCTTATGTACCTTTTCACTTTTTGTATTTCATTTCAGTCTGTTGGTGTTACACGGTGAGCTGGATGCAAGATAGATACTGTACTAAATTGTACTGTTGATTGAAAAATGTAATAAAAAGCTGTTTGAGATCTCTTTGTCGTGTTTTAATATAAAAGCTGCATCAGATGTTTGTTGTATTCACATTTTATTACTGATGTGTCGTTCCGATATTGCATGTATGTGCTTTAGAAAGAGTTGTCCAGAGATACTGTAGCTTCACTATTCTCCAGGGAGTAAAGTGAGACCAGCAACACAAGACAACATTTAAAAGGAAAGACAACTACTTGATTTACAACAAGGTCTTTCATTCGGACTAATCGGAACTATAATATACTCATGGGTATAAATCTGTCTATATTTGTTTATCAAAATGCACATTGTATTCTCGTGGAATGAATATTTAATATCCCCTCTATTATAGGGTTTCTGATGTATTTACAGGAGCATATTGCTTAGTAAAGATAAAGAATTGGATGACAAAATATTTTGTTGGGTGGGACTGGAATACATTTTCGTCTAATAGACTACTGAGCAGACTTGTATATTATTTTATAGTGTTCGAACAAACATATCACTAAAAAGAAAGTCGACAATAAATGTCAATGTTTATTGTCGACGATAATTATGATTTGTTGATTTTTTCGTTTAAGATCAGAGAAACACGCAGGTAATTGAACAACGCAAACGACATTTACAGACACCATAACACCGTGATACAAACGGACGTTACTGTTGATTTGACGTAACATAAGTGTGCAACTTTTAATTTGAACGTAATTAAGTTTAAATATGTTGTAATTGACACGTAATCTTCATTTCTAAATGTGTACGACTCATAGCAACCGCCATCTTCCCATCTCTTCTCTCTGCCAACAAACATAATAATAACTAGCTAACGGAAACTGCTGTAGTAGATTTACTACCTAACCACATACGGGGGGGGGAGAGAGAAATCAAATGTATGAGTACGACTCAATTTATTGAGTTGTATTAGATTTGATTCAAATAACTATTGTTTTTACGGTAATAGTAGTGTTGGTTTGATTTATAAGGACCATTGAGTTAATTACTGCTTATATTAAAGAAACTGCATAAATAAAACCCCCCATGAAGTGAAATAGCCCATTATAATGACGTAGTTCCCTTTTCGCTGAAATAAAACCATTTTGGTAGGCCGTACATGTTGGTTTAAATATTTCGCCTCGTGGAAAAAGAAATACATTTCCTTCTGTTATTCTTACTTGAGACAAGAAGAGATTCGTGCTTACGTTGGATGACCTTATCAACCCGCCCACGTTATTTTGACGATATCGCGTTGTTAGGTTTGTTAACGAGGGACCGTACGCAGTTTTCATTACGAGGCACAGTTGAACGCTCGTTCGGTGTTGACGACACACAACCCCGCGACGAACAAAGGAAAAGGCTGGTGCACGCTTGTTAGTGCGTTTGGAGAGTGATATTATACAACAATTCAGCTAAAACTCACCATAACGACCTTTTTGTTATGGAATTTTAACTTTATATATTTTTTTATCGGAATAACAAAACAATTAGCTTGATCATTCAGTCTGGTTAGCAGCATCGGCTAACGTTAGCTTTGATTGTGGACAACTGGCAAGCTAACTGCTAACTTTAGCATTGTTTTCATTCTAGCCGGAACTTTTTAGTTTTTGGCACAATGGCTGAAGTATATATTCGAGTGGCTGAGGAGGAAAATGAGGAGCCAATGGAGATTCCGTCCGAGGACGACGGTACTGTTCTGCTTTCAACAGTGGCGGCTCAGTTTCCAGGGGCTTGCGGCCTACGCTTCAGGAGCCCCGTGTCTCAGTGCATGCGGGGAGTGCGTCTGGTGGAAGGGATCCTACACGCACCAGAAAACGGATGGGGGAATGTCGTGTTTGTGGTGAACTATCCGAAAGGTAGATATGGGCACCTAATATTTAATTATCTTTACATAACACTTAATTCTAACAGGTGTTGTTAACGGTATTTATAATTCATGATGTAGCTTCAGCACACTGAAAATAGATGACAATGACGTGACCTGTAGTTTGTTCGTCTACGCCCACGAAGTGCGCTCTAATGACACTAAATTATTTAACTAATATACAAGTGGAAAACCTAGATCACAAATCAACAGCCTCTAATGTGCAATTACTATTTTATTTAAACATATGGGAATACATTTAGTCAAGCGTTGTAGTATCTTTAGCTAATGTGTTACTCTACTCCTTAGTCATTTACAAGTAAATGATATGAACGACACATACAAATATGGATTTAGGGAGATTCATTGGATAAATGTAAATCTGACTGTCATCCTTAGTATAAAATCACCTATGGTCTTGGACGTTTTCCATGGATTCTGCCATGTTTGTACAGTAGCCCAGAAAGGACAAACGGTACAACAAGATGTGTGCCCTTATGTAACGTGTATAAAAAGGCCAATGGACAAATGTTCACACAATATGAAGAAGCGGTGGGTAAAAGATCTTAAAACTAAACTCAATGTGGTCAAATATCCTTTCCATTTGAAGAAGCTAGCAGAACAAGGTCCAAAATGCACCCCCTCTTATGAAAAACCGTCCTTATTAACACAAAAACAATCTGTAATAATGCAAACTAAGAACATGGCATTTGTTAGTACTAATGGAGTTCAAGCCAGCAGCTTTTGAAGCCGCATTTAATTTATTGTTCACTGTCCGGGTGTACAGTATATCTGTTTATTTCAACTTTTAGTGGATTGACACAGAATGAAAACGAAATGTACACTAGGGGATAAATAAAGTATTTTTTTATCTTTATTTTTATTTACACAATCATAACATACGATTGTTTTTATACATGTCATACATTACTCACCCTGGAATTTTTTTATTAAATATTAGCAGGATAGTAAACATATTTTCAAACCAGTGATGGCAGGGAAAGATTCACCCAGTCGCTGTCAGGCTAAATTACATTCAATTTCTCTCTGTGTTGGTCACACTTCAGACAACAAAAGGAAAATGGAGGAAATTGACGCCTCATCTGCAGTGAAAATGAAGAGAGGGGATATGAAAACATCGGATCTGATTGTACTGGGCCTTCCTTGGAAAACATCTGAGCAGGACCTGAAAGACTACTTTGGCACATTTGGAGAGGTCATCATGGTTCAGGTATAACAATAGTGAAATACACATTAACCTGGGTTGTATGATTGACAACAGTTTTTTATTCCTCAATGCTTGTTTTTAACTTATAGGTAAAACGAGATGCCAAGACTGGAAACTCTAAAGGGTTTGGCTTTGTGAGGTTCACAGAATATGAGGTTCAAGAAAAGGTTGTGTCCCAGCGCCATATGATTGACGGAAGATGGTGTGACTGCAAGCTCCCTAACTCAAAGGTGAATCTTGTAATAGCCATGTATCAACCAGCATATATTATGTAAATAAAAACGGTGTTAATGTTGACAAAACTCTAACCTTTGTCTAACCCCTTGGTTTACAGCAAGGGCCCGATGAGCCATTGAGGAGCCGGAAGGTGTTTGTAGGCCGTTGCACAGAAGACATGACCACTGACGACCTGAGGCAGTTCTTTATACAGTATGGCGAAGTCACAGACGTCTTCATCCCAAAGCCATTCCGTGCTTTTTCCTTCGTCACATTTGCAGATGATCAGGTACAATGTTACATTTTTAGAAGAACTCCTTGTTGTAGTGGTACCACTGCCCTGATGACCTGATTCATGTCTTTATTTCCCCTCACAGGTTGCCCAAGCTCTCTGTGGAGAGGACCTAATAATTAAAGGTGTCAGTGTTCACATCTCAAATGCTGAGCCCAAACACGGCAATAGGCAGTTTGATCGCACGACACGGTTTGGAAATGGTTTCGGAGCTCAGGCTTTTGGTAGCAGCCGTAGCGGGGTTAGCGGGGGCAGCGCTAACAGTAGTCTGTCTAATTTTGGTTCCTTCAGTCTGAATCCGGCTATGATGGCTGCGGCCCAGGCAGCTCTTCAGAGTAGTTGGGGGATGATGGGAATGCTAGCTAGCCAGCAACAGACATCCACCCCAGGCAGCACCTCTAGTGGAACTAGCTCCAGCAGGGACCAGAGTCAGTCTTTCAGTGCGGCCAACAGCAACTACGGCGCCAGCTCGGCCAGTCTCGGCTGGGGAACAGGGTCAAACTCTACAACCAGCGGTAGTGGGTTTAGCTCAGGGTTTGGGTCCAGTATGGAGTCAAAGTCATCTGGGTGGGGTATGTAAGCTAAATGTTTGTATGGTAAGTATTGTGACAGAGATGAGTCTTTTCACATTTTTATTTCTGGTGTTATTGCGTATCTGACAAACTTAACACTTTTGTGGAAGTTGTTTTGTACATTTGGAAAAAAAGCTAAAGATTTAATTTAGAAAGTGTTGCAGTGAGTTGTTTAGCAGGATGTCTGACTAAAGTGCTATTTTTGACGTCTCATTTGTTTGTATCCATTTCAACTGGATTCTCTAATGCATGTATTGTGAAATGTGATATAGCCATTTTGAAAAAGCATGAATGTTTATGGATCACCATCATGCGGCTTTGTCACCAACCTAAAAAGCAATCTTGCATTGGGAAGAATCTGGTTGAAACCTAAATGTTTTAAATGCAACTTTATTTGCAGTCAAGTTCTGTGGAAAAGCCTTCATTGAAATCTCTTCTGCAGTTCACCTCTCTTCCATTTTCCTGTGAGGAAGCTCCTCTATGGCAGCATTCTTGGGGTGATATCGGTATCATTCTCCCTCTTCCCACCTGTAAATGCTATGCCATCAAAGAACGGCTTCACTCCGCATGTTCTAAGAGACGGTGGGTGTTTTCACTTTTATCCACTTTTAAATGGAGAGAACTGCGCAACTGACATTTTAAGAACTGATGAGTGCGATTGAGGATGGCTTGTGACGAAGAGTGAAGCGATGAGTGAGCGAACGGAGAGACGCGTGAAAAGGACTGGTTGTGCAGTGAAAGAGCCCAATTTGATTGCTTTTTGAATGTGTGAGTGGAAGCTGCGGATGCTACGAGCATCTCCCCTAACATGGACATTCTTTAAGTAGTACTTCAAGATTTTTTTTTTTCTATCTTTGCAAGTTTTCCTTACTCTTAAGTATGTCGATCAAGTGCAGAAATATCAAAATGTAGTGGAATGTTGTGATGAATATTTGTATTGCTTATATTATCTGATTTGAATGCTGTATGGTGTGTGATTTCCTGTTCTTGAACTGATCTGTAAGTGAGTACTTGATGTGGATGACATCTGCTGAAGACTCTGGGGGACGCGAGTGATAGTGTGAGCGTGGAGTGGTGTGTCCAATAGTTCCCTGCAGCTCTTGTGTTGTTTGTGAGGTGTTTAAAAAAAAAAAAACATGTCAAATGAAGGGAGTTCTCTAATAAAGTTCATTTGAATAGATGCTTAGTTGTAAAATAATTGGGTCAGTTTGTCAAATAAAAAAACATCTAATTCGATTCACATATCTAGGGACCTTGGGCTCCGCTGGTCGAGGTCTCCGTTTGAACCCTGACTGAAGTCTGTTCTGAAGGACGAAGATGGAAGTACCAATACTTTCAGTGTGGCCTTCTCAGACATGGGGTAGTACCAGTCTTTTTGCTGCTTTTGCTGGCTTGTCGGAGTGAATGATCCCCTTTGATTATCTACAGCAACTTTTAAGGTTTGAGGGATATTTTAAGATGGGTAGTGTGTCATTGTCTTCATTTTAAACCCAACTGGGTGAGCTCAGCAGTCTGGCATCATCCTTCCAAACTATCTATTTTCAGTAATTTGGCTAAAGTAATTTTACAGTTCTTGACATGTTTCTGAAAATAAGGGACTTTAAGATGGCCTTATAAACCTAGCAACAACTTTATACAGTACACGTGTAGCTGGTCAGAAATAAGTTAACCTCAGCTATAAATTATACTCTTGGATAGTTTCAATGTTTCAAACATTTATTTTACATTGACAGATGTGTTGACTCAAGTTTAACACTTTAATGTAGTCCATAATATTGAGACCTGTTTTTAAGGTTTTATCTTCACTATTTGCATAAGAAACATAAGAATGTACTACAGAACAGTAAAATATAAAGGTTATAGTTAAAGAATCAACAAGAGAAATTTGGTAGATTCTATGACAGATGTAGATTGCTTTAGATAATACAGGCATACCTATTAAGTGATCAGTGTGTACGTTCAAAATAGTCAACTGTACTATTACATATTTTAGTTTAAAGAAACAAGGCAGGTACATCGTTAAGCAGAGTTCTGCCAAATGCACACACATTTAATTTTGCATCAGCAGGTCACAGGACAGATATGTTATTTATTGTAAGTACATAAAACTACAGTTATTTATAAAATGTCTTAAGTGTAGAGTCCCCATAACATTAAATGACAGCCTTGACACTTAAATGATTGCTAATAGCCTTCAAGTTTATTTTGAATGTTGGGCAGAAGTGTGACACTGCAGGGCTGCCTGTGTCCTTTCCTTATTCTTTGCTCTCCTCCTCAGTGTCTCTGCTTTTCCTCTTCCCAGTACTCTTCTTTTCCTGGTTCAGTTCTTCAGTTTTATTTTGTATGTGGATGGACTGAAATAAATAAAAGCAAATTTAAAACAATGTTTGCCGTGTGCTGTAAAATATATACATACCCCTACATAGGTCGAGTATAATGCATTATGTTTCATTGTGTTGATTTGTACTTGCTTTAAGGTAACTAGAAATGACCAGGTTCTGTAGGATTCCCCAGTGGAAATAACTCACCAATGCTGTACTGCGACGGGCTATGAGCTTCACATCTTCTGAAGTCACTGTGTTTCTTTTAGCATGTCTGAAAGTAAATTGGAGGTTTTATGTAAAAGCTTTTTTTTTATAAATCAAAAATTCACTAGTCAGATAATCCATTGATTTATGTGGTAAGAAAAACATATTTCTCACCTTGCAAAGGCCTCCAAGTCTTTAGCAAATACATCTGTAAAAAGTGAGGATGTAAAGTTTAGACTTGACTTATTGAAAACAGCATTATGGTTAAAACTTGTAGAAATGGTTTGTTGACCTCTTTCACATACATGTGTCTATTGTTGAAGTCTTGAAACAAATCAGTACTTAACAACAGCAGTCTCCTAATCTGAATATGTTTTGTTTTTTTTAATATGAGAAAAATGTATCTAAATTATTTTAGTCAAACTCAATTACTAGCAAAACAGCCAATTCCAGAATTTGGCCTAAAACCTATACAGGAAGTTATTCTTTTCAATTTAACATAATTTATATACTGTGTGTAGAAAATGAAAACCTTTGGAACAAGTGGAATGTGTTATGTTTTATGACAATGTTCAGGACGCCTTACAAAAACAAGTGTGTGGCTGCAAAGATCAGCCACGCAAAGACCTTCCTTTATTGGAGCTAACAAAGTGTGAAGTGGACAGTAAACTGTGGCTAAATGTGGATGACAGGGTTGTGTGGCACTAATCCATCTCTACTGTATATCTACAATAAGAATGACAGCTATCCCATATCCAATGTGCATAAACAGGCTTTGTGTTCTACATCACTGGACTTTAATTTATATTTGTGTGCATTTAGGAATTACTTGCAAAAAAGTAAACAAAATAAAAGGCCTACTGCACCAAACTCCTCAGTTTTACCTCTGGTGGACATATGTCAGTAATGGTGTGATAAGTTGATGGAAAGACAACAAACAAAATCGGTGAACTTGATATTCACTCACCATGGACTTATGAGTGCATGTGATTAGATTTTTTTTATAGAACATTAACCCTGCCTATTTAAAGATGCAATGCAAATGCCATAGTAAATACTTTTTAATAAAAAATATTTAATGAAAGAAAATCATAGTTTATGATTCCGAGTGTATGTCATAATAACATACGCACTATAATTGTCATTAAATTGTTGTAACAATCCAATGCATGTCTTAGTATAGTATCTTATTAAAAAAAAATATGTCAAAGTATAGTATGTCGTTAAAAAAAAAAGGATGCAACGTCAGCTTTATGACACCCACCGCATTGTCTGAACGCTGTCTCGGCTATCGCTGCTACAGCTTGTCGGCTGAACCCTCTCCGGTGGTCCTCTCCCGTCTTCTGGCACAGGCGACCAACGGTGAAATGGATTGCTGCCTTTAACCTCTGAAATTCAAAATACCAACTCTGATCACAACAAAAAAATCTAAAGTACGTTTTATGTGTGGCGCTGTGCCTCAGGTTAAACCATAGTATAATGGTGGCCGGAAGGGTTCTCCCTGTATTCTTCGTATTATATGTATGTATGTATCATAACACTATGAGAGATTGTCTTCATAGTTCATTTTACAAACAAACAAAGACAGATCCATTCCTACCTCTCCAACAGGCAACAGTTTGTAACCATCAGAAAATCCAGCTCTCCCCCAGCCCCTGTCAAGCAAGGTGTGCCGCAAGGTTCGGTGCTCGGCCCCCTTCTATTTAACATCTACATGCTCCCCCTTGGTGAAATCATCCGCCAAAATGGTCTCAACTTTCACTCCTATGCCGACGACACCCAACTCTACATCAGCACCAATCCACCATCCCAGCTACCCCCACCGTCAGTAGTCAACTGCCTCCGCGACATCAAAACCTGGATGTCAACAAATCTACTGAAACTCAATAAAAACAAAAACAGAGCTCATGGTTGTGGCCCCAAAAACACTGCTCCGGAAGGTCGGAGATCTCCTCACCGTCGATGGCTGCTCCATCCACCCTTCCCCTGAGGTTCGCAGCCTGGGCGTCACTCTGGACTCAAGCCTCACCTTCAATTCCCACATCAGGTCGACTGTCAAAACTACTTTTTTTCACCTTCGAAACATCTCCAGACTCCGGCCCTCTCTCCCCGACCCCGTTGCAGAAACATTAATTCATACCTTCATCTCCTCTCGCCTGGACTACTGCAATGGAGTTCTGTTCGGGGTCACCAGCAAAGCCCCGGACAGGCTCCAGTACGTCTAGAACTCTGCAGCCAGGCTCCTCACCCACACTAAGCCCTGGCAACACATTACCCCCACGCTCATCCACCTTCACTGGCTCCCGGTCAAGTCACGCATCCAGTACAAACTCCTCCTGCTAACCTACAAATCTCTCCACTCCCTAGCCCCTGCATACATCTCTGGCCTCCTTCAGCCCTACACCCCCTCTCGTCAGCTGCGGTCCTCCGACAACGGGCTGCTCTCCATCCAGCACTCCAAACTGAAAACCTTTGGCAACAGAGCCTTCAGTGTCGCAGCCCCCACCCTCTGGAATGCTCTCCCCTCTGCTATCAGGAATGCCGACTCTCTGGACACTTTCAAAAAACAACTCAAACATCATCTGTTCACTCGGGCCTTTGGCCTCAGCTAAAATGCAGTACCCAGCAACCTGTTATTTTTTTAAACCTGTGTATCTGTGTGACTATTATTATTTTGTTGTTTTGTTTCCCATTGTAAAGCATCCTTGGGTCTCTTGAAAGGCGCTATACATTTTTTAATTATTATTATTATTATTAGATGGATGTTTCAAATGCAGTTTAAATAGTAACAACTTTCTCTGCCAAATTGAAAAATCAAAATCCAATTAAAATATGTTTTATTCGCCCAGCATAGTAATTACATCTGCATTAAAATGGCATTGAGTTGGAATCACTAAATGACATGATATGCAATCTAGTGCGAAAAACTGAAATGATCACATCAGTATTCAATACAACTCTGTCCTTTGGATCTTTTTCAACAGCTTCCATGTAATAAGAAGAACCAATCAAATCTACGCAGCATTAGGACACACCTCTTTTTATTGGATTTTATTGCAATTTATTATATTTTACAAGAACATTGTAATGATAATCTAATAGTTTTTTTTACTAAAAAGTATCACTCAGAATAATTGGTTCTATTTGTCATTTTTTTTATAAATTCGATTTTAGTGCAGCTTCTACCTTATGTGAATAATTATTGGAAGAAAACAAACCTTATTGAAGTCTCTTGGATTTTTTTGATAGGGTCCATGACATTTGACGTTATGACTCCAAATCAAGGCAGAATTGTAATTTATTGACGGTCCCTAAATGTAACCCTGTTATTAATAGCGAGGGCTCGGATGTGAGCTAACACACAGTCTTCTGACAGCTGACAGTCTGAGAAACTCAGGATGAAAACCGTATTTCTTTTTTGTGAAAAATCCACCCTAGAATACTAACATCACCGCGGTAGTAGGTATAATGTGATTTATTTATTAGACCTAGAGTAACACACATTGAAACTCTCGTTAATGTGTCATTAGACTTGAGGATAAGCTGTGCAACATAGGACTATGTGAAATACACACACTAACGTTAATATTAGCCAAACACAGACACATCAAAATCACTTTCTCACCTGCTGAGTCTCATCTTTATCATCAGACATTTTCTTCCGGAGAAACTTTCGACCACAGCGGCTTCAACTAAGTGACCGAGTAAGAAAATCCTACAAAACTAAGGTGTGTCAGACAGAAACACGACTTAAACACAGTGTTGTTTGGCTGAAGGTAACACATGAGCTGAAATAAACAAAAAACTCGCGGTAAAAATTCAACAGCAAACCAACAACTCCTGAGTTTAACTCGGTGTTTACTGTACACCACCCCGTGTGGTCCGGAGGAGGAACTGCAACGGCGAGGCATTTGTATAATGTATAATATAATGCTTCCGTGATTTGTACCCACAACTTTCCCTTCATGAAATTAAAGAAGTGTCATACTATATTTAGCCTTCGGGCACATGCTGTTTTTTCTATATACTTAATTATAAAATAATAGTAATCCCATTTTCCCAGTGGAAAACACTCTTAGGGTGCAGCAGCTCTGTCATAAATTCTACCTTGACAAATGTTACATTTTTGTGAACAATGTTAGGAATACTTCAATTTAATGATATACTACACACACAGAGGTAGTTTGCAGTGGTGTTCTTGACTATTGCATAGAGAAGTTTTCCTTATTTTGTGACCTGCCTACTTACAAACTATTTACAATTTGAATAAGGCAGAATGTTAGAAACACCATCATAAAAACTTGAACTTTATATCAGAACAGTTTTATCGGACTGTATTAGATTGTACAGATGTACCTAATAAAGGGACCACTGATGTAGAATGGTAAGAAAATGGCTTTATTTAAAAAACTAATCAAGTGCAATCAAGGTCAATATCAAACACACATTTGCAGTGTACACAAATAGTTTGTATGGAAGCCATTTATCCTCTTTTTTCTTAAAGTCCTGATGACTATTGATACAAGTTTGAACCTAAAAATGACAACGTTGTACTGTTAGATTCTTGCCCAAAGTATGTCCGTGATAATTTGTAAGACTTTAAACCAGTGAGAACAAATTATTTCCTCATCGTACTCCTATTCTGTAGGCACAAATGTATCACACACTGACACACACTATTTTCAAATGACATGCTCTTTATTGAAAGAGTGTGTAGAACATGCTGCTTTTTCATTTCATGGAAACACAAATGGAGTTCTAGGAAGTCTGATACTTTTGAAGACACAGTCACAGAGTCCTTTTATAGATTTGCATGCAGACTTGATCCTCACAAGTAAGTTCCTAGGAAGAGAAAACGTGAAGCTGTTAACATTTCCATAATTTTTAAGTTGAGCATAATTACCATTCATACATGTCAAGTACTGTGTGCTATAGTGATTTGTAACACAAAAACAGATCACCTCCTCATCAGTTCTATTGAAATACTTCACCAGATAGCAGAAAATAAAAGACAGATAATAGAATAATTATAATTCAGGCCAAGTTTTTAGTCAGTATCTTCCATTTGTTATACTTTAGCTTTTTGCTCTACCTTTCATTATTATATTTTGAGTAAACAATAATGTTTATGATGTGAAATAAGAAGCTCAAAACCCTTTTTGGAATATGTTAACTTTGCTAAGCTGCATAACAGTGTTCAGAGGTGTTAAAGGTAAAAAGGGAGTCCACCAATTAATATAAATCTGCATTTTATGTGAGAACATTTTGATAACAAACAGTAACTGGCGGGGCCACCCAAATAAAATAGTCATACCAGGTGAAGCTCGTCCCCCTGAATCCAGTGAGTCCACCCTCGGTTCTTCTTTTCTCCTTTCTGCACACACACCAGCTTATCATTCTTCCAGTTCACCAGCGACTGATGGAGAAAACAAAAAATATATACAAGCACAGCAAAATACATTAGGGTGGTGTTGCTTTAATATATGTGTATAGTCTATGCATGCACATAATCATCTCAATGTGTTTTTACCTGAACTGTCCTGTTGTCCAACCCTTTTGTCACCTCTTTGACCTCTTCACCAATTTTGAAAGAACTCTCATAATTTCTGAAAGTGGTGAATGTCCGGATTATGAAGCAATCTCCGTCTTGCTTAATCACTTTCTGGGGCTTCAACATCGAGGCAATCTTGCGTGTTGCAAAATCAATGCCTGCATGTCAAAATGAGAGGAGTTTGTTGAAATACACCCTGCTACCACGTGCCCCATGCTCTTATCAGATTTACTTTTTACATGTCGCAAACATGATTTTATCTTGGATCAAACCAGTGCCACAAAAAATCCATGGAGAGACAGGATAGTGAAAATACTCAATGGAAAATATAACTGCAAAATGCCATGTAAAAGTACTGATGTAATTGTGAATTTGCCAAACATTTTTGAAAGTCCCCTCTATACAGTATGTGGATGCACATGGTGTCATCATTTATTTATTTTTAATTTTGCGGAATAGCAAATCAAAGTTCTTCCTTTTCCCCCCCTGACAAATCAGCTGTGTATAATCAAATGTAAATATGATTACATGTCCACCTAGCACTCTCCTGGTCATTGACAAAAAGGAATGCACACCGAGGATGGATAACGTGTTTTTCATCTAATTTAGAACAAGTTTCAATGACAAGAGATAAACTACACAGTCAATTATACATGAGGGTTCTCTCATATCATAATAAAATATTAATTAAATGCAGAGTTTGTTTCTTTTGGTATTCACTTACCAAGTGCGACCATGTATGCTTCAGAGTTGACGTTGCTGACAACGTCCCACGTCCCGCTGTAGTCGACAGGCATCTTTGGAGGTTTGTTGGACTCTGGAAGACTCGTCTGCCCAAGTGTCTGAAGTTATCAGCTTTATAGTGTAAGGGTTGACTATTCATTGTGTGTCAATATGGGGCAGGGGTGATATGTTGTAAACTGCAGCTATTTTGGACAAATACAAAGCACTGGAGGCCGGAGCAGGACCTTTTACCCATAATGTGAGGAAACGATCCTGTTCCTGTTAGTACAAAAGCCTCACAGCAGGACGTCATTCTTACTTCTTATTATAGTGCATCTTTAATATTCCAGATGGTCCTTTAAAGCATGCTTTGACCTTAAAAACAACAACCTTACATTAAAGCTTTAATGTTAAGCGTAAACAATATGAAGTAGAGCTACAACGATAAGTCGAATGGATTGGTCAAAGGACAGATAAATAATTGGCAACCATTTTGATAATCAAGTTATCATTAGTAAGTTATTTTTCATAAGTAAAACATGGCTGTTTTCAGCATCTCAAATATGGAGATGTTTTGGGGACTGACAAAACAAGACATCACTTTTGGACATTTTGTACCAATTTCTGAAATATTATAAACCAAACAATGAATCCATTCATCTAAAAAAGAAACAACACATGAATTATTGATGAACGGTATCATTAGTTGCTCTTCTATCATGCAGCAGAGGTTTCTGTACATGTGCAGCGTGAAACACAAGCCTTCCTCCTGCTCACATTTGCAGCTCCATCCAGGAGTAGTGTTACAGTAAAGTCTGCTGGAGTGTGTATCCTCCATGTTTCTCTACATGCTAATCTTCATGGCGTATCATAGCAGCCGGTGGATACCAAGGAATCAGAGGCTAAAATTGTAAGTGCTGTTTCCATGAGTCATGTTTCTGTTTTGATCTGATAGAAAAAAATGCAATGTACATTTATTCAAACGCAGGGTGTTTTACTCCTGATGTTTTATTCCATTTGTAGTCAGATAGTGAATGCAGTGTTTGCAGCTCTTGTCCTGGTCCCTCAGTTCTACGTCATGGCAAGGTAACTATAGGTCACAGCAGGTTATGGCACCATGAGTCATTTGGAGAAAAAAAAGGAAATGCTGCATTAATCATCGTACCTGTTTTGTTGAAAGTCCAAAATCCTCCAGATACTGCAGGCAGCCGCTTCTGAGCAACCTGTCAGCCTCCATCGCCTTGTCCTTCATCGCTACAGGTGAACCCATGCACATCAGACACATCTCCGAGATGTTCACCATGTGGTGGAAGAAGTATTCAGACTCTTTACTTAGCAGTTCTTATACCAGGCTGTAGGAATATACCACAACAAGTAAGAGACCTGCATTCAAGATCTGCCTTAAATAAAAGTAAGTTTGAGTACAGTTAAATGTACTTAATGTATCAACAAATTATATTTCTGGAAAAATATGTCCCATCAGTTTTACTTTAGAATTTTGTATTTACTGCAGAATTGTATTGTATTTTACTGCTGTAAATGTTAAAGGTTATGCTAATTTAAATTGTTGTTGCTCAGAAAAACACCTAATTCATCAGTTTATCAGAAACATTCAAATTAAAATAACACATTTCGAGATAAAGAGTTTTTCACTGGACAGAAAATTATAAGAAATTGTAATGAGAAATATAACCAATGCTGACAGACGGAAGTAAAGGACTAAAAAGTAAAATAAATTGCCTCTGAGATGTAGTAGAGTAGAAGACTAAAGTGCATTGAAAATGTTTACTTGAGTAAAGTACTGGGGTAAATGCACTTAGTTAAACTCCACCATGCACTATGTGTAACATACAAGCAAACAAGGAGGATACAGAGCTGACTTTAACTCCTTCAATAGGTTTTTCCGTGGTTTTCACACTGATAGACCCAGTTCCTCAGAGCCTTTGGGCCTCCTATCACGTGTTTGGGATTCTGACATGTGGACAAGGTCTCTGCACCGCCATCTTGACTCTGACAGCAGCAGCGTGTGTAAGAAACAGACTGAATATCATCATTAAAATCTGCAGAGAAACTACAGCATCAAAGTTATGTATATACATATTTACATTCACAGGCTAAAACCACCCCGGAGCTGTACTACATGTCCCTTATCCTAACTATTGCTTCTATTTTCAGTACAGGTAAAGTGTTTTTACTATAAATTGTGGGACTATGCATACATACACTGTTTTCTGCTCAAAGGAAATAACACCTGCTTGTGTCTGTTCAGGTTTTTTCATGGTGAGAGGAGGCCTCTGGTTGACTAACAGGAAGCATGTGACGGAACCGAGCAGAAACAATGAGCAGTAAAGCGGTCCAGCTGTCCCACGTTGACATCTGAAACTCCACATATTAAGATTTCATGTGGTCTCTATGCCACCGGCAGCTGGTAACTTTAAACCATGGGAAAGTGACTTAATCCCTCTCACGTTTTATCGCTCACTTCAGAAAGAACATCACAAAGCAGGTGTTTGTCTTAACGGTTAAAACGATTAGCTTTTTATTTGTTGAGGAACACTTGTTTCACAGTCAGTCAAAGTAAGTTAATAAAGGCGTAGTTTACACAGTATGATGGGTTTAATTATATACAAACACAGAACTCTGTAGTACCAAACACGATGAGAAAAGCAATATGAACAGACTATAGGAAATTGTATTCAGCTTATATCTCTCACCTTATTTTTCCAAACAATTGGGAAACGATATGAATTGAGAGTGGAATGTGAATGGAACAGGAATGGGATTGTTTTTTATTAGTGAAGCACAAAATATCTTGAATTACCTGAAACATTTCAATAACAAACATCGACATATTTTCACATTTAATTTTTTTTTTTTTAACTCTGATGACATTTCAAGTGGGTCACTGCCAGCTACAATAGAAAACACACAACTGATACATGTAGATTACACAGTGAACAGCTTGTCTGCACATTCACAGAATCACCTGAGATCATAGAAACCACCTGGATTCTTAGTTAATACATCTTTCTTCTAGTTAGAATGACTTTTGGCACCCAATTATTGTTTCAAATGATCAGATATTCTTATAGTGCTACATCGAACTACAGACATGAACTACATGTATTTGCTAGATTTTCACTATCCTCACACATAATTAGATAAACTATAACAAAAAAGTATACATTTCACCCCAACACACAAAAGTATTTGAATGAGGTTCAAACTTTAAATAAAAAAAGAAAGTACCAGTAGATTTGAACCCATTAACCACATATTGCATATACTCAATATTCCTGCCAGAAACCTGATGACATTATTGAAAAATACAGCAGTGATATTACAGTACTACCTTCTATGATGTGCATATGAATTATAAACATTCTTGCTTGATTACTAATGCTTTATATATATATATATATATATATATATATATATATATATATATATATATATATATATATATATATATATATATATATATATATATATATATATATATACGTATTTATAAGGCTCTATTCAGCAAATAAACCACATTATAAAGTTCTTTATATTGATTTTCAAGTATCATAATACTTTATAATTGCTGTTCCATTACGGACATCTTTAAGCACATCCATGTCGATAAAAATAATATTATAAAACATAATTATAATGTTTTGCTGATAATTATACCGTATAAGTTTATGATTATAATACATTATATAGCCTAACAAAACTATTATAATGTATTACAACAATAGGAACTATAGTACACTATGATCCTTGCAAAACAAACATGTCATTGAGTCTAAAGCAATAATAAAGTATGCGTTTTAATCATTTTTTATAAAGCATTATATCTATTTATTGGTGCTAATAACTATGAGTATGCAGTGCATTAAGCCGATAAGGAATTACAGGTATATTTTAAAAAACATCATAGAAAGTGTAACCATCAAGTACATGTGATTATTTCTGGTTAATGAGTTAAAACATGTAGAACTACCGGTCCTTTAAGTGCTGGCTCATATTTGCTTTCACCAATCAGCCGTCCAATTTAAGCAGCTCAATCATTTTTATTCGGATTGAAAGGTAGGAATGTGATTCTTATCCTAAAAGTGCATCATAGTCAATATACCAGACCAGTTTTCCATCGTCAGGCTTCACCCCGGTGACGGGCCACTTGTCGGGATTGTCCTTCATCCTGCTCAGCTGGGTGATCAGCTCGTGCTTGCCTTTGCCCATCACCAACAGAGCCACTGTGCGCGCCTGGTTAATGGCGCTGAAAGTGAGGCTCATGCGCTGGTGAGGCTTGACGGGGCTCTCAGTGAGGGCCGCCAGACGGTCCCCGAGCTCAGACACCTTACTGTTCGGGAACAGAGAGGCAGTGTGGCCGTCGTAGCCCACCCCCAGCAGCACAAAGTGGAAGCTGGAGCCATTGACTAGCTTTCTGACCTCTTTCTCGTACAGCAGCGCTCCTGCGTCCTCCTCCACACACAGGCGCTGGTTGAGCTGCACTGGCATGGGGTGGATGTTGAAATAAGGGATCCTCACATGCTGCAGCAGATGGTCATGCAGGCTGTGGAAGTTGGACTCCAGTTCAGTGGGAGGTACGCAGCGCTCGTCCACCATCCACACATGGGTGTCCCTCCAGGGGAAGGAGAAGTGGTGCAGGACCAGCCTGTGGAACAGAGCGAGAGGAGAGGAGCCACCGGAGAGGGCGAGATGGAAAACGCCGCCTTCACGCACCGCTGCCTCCGCTGATGCCTGGATGTCTGCGGCCAGCCTCTCCACCAGCTCCTCGGACCAGGCCGACACCATGGCAGCACTGCGGAACTTGCCTTGCATCACTTGGAAATCTTTTGCTGACGTGCCGCTCATCTGATCAGCACCGATTATCACCACCTCACTGCTGTAGCTAATGTCTTTCCCTTTCATACGCAAGTCCAGCATGTCTCCGTTGTCGGCCCCCCCGGGGTAGATGCGGGGGAAAGAGCCTGCTAGACTGCTAAGCAGGGGCGTCCATAAGCCCCAGGAGGCAAGCAGGTTTTCAGCACTAATGAAACTGTTCTTACTTCCGGCAAAAATTTGAGAAATAAGTTCTGAATAAGCTTCTCGATTCTCTGATGGGGTCTGCACATAATAGTCTGAAATAGGTAAACCTAGAACATCGACATCTGTATGCTCAGTCACTTCCTTCCACTGACCTTCCTTTAAAACGGGCTTGAATAAATTCTTACTCACAAGAATGGCTGGATATTTAAGTTGGCCGTGACCAAAGTGGAAAACTATCTGTTTGGGCTTGCAGTGAACGCTGTTGTGGTTTTGAAGACAAAAGACGTTGTTCTTGAAAAGTATGCGTGCGTATCCCACTCGCTCATCTAACATCTTCCCTGAGATCAAAATAATTGGCACACCTTCATACTGAGCCTCATCGATGTGTGCCAACACAGCTGAAAGACACAAATATAGTCACTTAGTAGCAGAAATAAATGTGTTAAGTCTTTCAATACAAACAGCCAGAGGTGGGAGAAGTACTCAGAACTTGTACTTAAGTAAAAGTAGAAGTACCAGGCGTGTAGGAATACTCTGTTACAAGTCAAATAAAAAAATTAAAATAAAGTAGAAAAAGTAAATGTACTCATTATGCAGATTGACCCATTTCAGAATAATATATATGATATGTTTTGATTATAATTATTGATGCATTAAAGTGTTATCAAAGCTGGTAAAGGTGCAGCTAGTTTTAATGACTTTGTATACTGCAGGGTAGCTTGTGAATGTTACTCCAGGTGGAACTAAAGTCTGATTTAAGACTTGATTATATTTCACATCATTAATCTGCAAAGTAACTAAAGATATAAAATAAATGTAAAAGTACAGAATTTACCTCTGAATTGTAGTAGAGTAGAAGTACAAAGTAGCATAAAATGGAAATACTCATTTAAAGTACAAGTACCTCAAAATTGTACTTAAGTACGGTACTTCAGTAAATGTACCTAGTTACTTCCCACCTCTGCAAACAGCCATAATGATAAAAAAGAAAATCTGTCACCTGCAAATGTCGGAGTGAGGCTGACGTGATCTTTGGTCTTATTCATCTCCTGCTGCACTGATGTTTTGTACGCTTGGTACTGGCCGGTCACAGCTTGGTTCTTGCCTATCGGCAGCAGATTACTGAAGATCTGCAGCTTGTTTTGCAGCACCTCCTCCGTGCTGCTCATATTCACAGGAAGCCTCATGGTCAACAGGGTCATGACCTCAGTCAGGTGGTTCTGCATCATGTCTCTGATCACCCCGTACTGGTCATAGAAGGGAATACGACCTTTAGATAAAAACAAACAAGAGAGGACATTACCCTCAAATATGTCAAAAATACTTAGAACATTATTGCAACACATCATGTAATAACTCAACAAATAGTACTACTTTTTACTCTGGTATGTATTAACCCTCACAGCTTGTATCAAACAGTTTGAATGCAAATGCAAAGTTTATTAAATAAATTACAAATTGCTGGAGTTTCACTCAAAATTGTTACAATACTTTTTTCAATAGATAGATTTTCAATAACGAACCAAAAGGAATGTCTCCATTGGTACATGTTATATATTTTTAGGAAGGCTATGAAATAGTGACACTGGATGCGGTTTTGACCAATGGCAGATCATCTTCTAATTGCTTCTTTGAAAATGAATTTTCGGTCTATTAATTTTTTAATTTGCATTTTAAGAAAATATTCACAAAGCATACATAACAAAAATAAACACATCTAGGTACATAGATTAACTACATAACAGATGACAAATACGAAAAATAATAAAATAATATTACAAATACAAGAATGGATACATTGTTAATACTCATTAATTATATTGTTCTATACTCGACCCATTTTTCCCACCTTTCCTCAAAGATATGCATTTGGTTTCTAATTCTCATAGTTGTTTTCTCCATTACATAGATTTCATTTACTAAGTTATTCCATTGTGAGTTTACCGAGTCATTATCTTTTAGCCAATTCCTTGTAATTTGTTTGATGATCGCTATTCTAATTACCAGAAATAGATAGGAATCTTTTTTTGTTTTCCCCAGTAATAGGGATAATGGGATTTGTGTTGAGAGAAATGTCCAAGATATTGGACATTTCTCTTAAAACCTTCTCTTAAGACTTCTGGGAAACAGTTTTAAGAGAATGTTGAGTCTATATTATACATGAATGCATAAAATAAACATTGTTGTTAAGATGTTCATTTTTTAACTAATGAAGGCATCCATTTTATTACATAATTTAATGTAACAAGAACTCAGGCAATTATTAATCACCTTTAACATCGAGGGTCTCTTTCAAAACAATCTCAACTCTCTCGATGTGGTGCTTGTTCCAGATGGGATCCAGATACTTCTTGTTCTCCACTCTGAATGGAAGAATCTTTGCAACCACCTTTGAACAAAAGCAGAAAAATATAAACCATGAAATCAAAAACAGCTGAATTACAGGGTCATGGGTTAAGGCACACACACATATGTAGAGGGTTTTCCTACCTGCTTCCCCAGGTAATGGTCGATTCTAAACATTTCTTCATCCTTCAGGGAGCTCCCGAGCTGAGATGCAAGAAGCTGAGCGCTCCTGAAGTCATGCCCGAAAGGTTTCTCCAGCACCACCCTCAACCACGCCCCGCTGGCCGGCCTGCAGCTGTTATTTATCTTATCAGCAATATCCGCATATGCAAAGGCAGGTACAGAGAGGTAGAAGAGCCGGCCTGCCTCTGGTATTCCCTCCTGTTGAAGCTCTTTCTCAATGTTCTTTGCCAGTTCCTGGTAGTCTTCTAAGGTCTTCAGCTGCCGATACTCAGCGAGCCGCAGGAACTGCTCCTTCAGCACGGCACAGCGATCGGGGGATGTTTCCTTTGAACAGGACACGGCCTTGACGATCTCAAAGAAGATCGGTGTGGCGGTGCTGGCAGGTGACAGTCCCCCGCCGTAGAAGGAGAAAGTGTTTCCACCACTGACCTGGTTAACGTACTGCTCGAAGAAGCCCTGCCACAGGTACCTCTTTGCCAGGTCCCCTGTGGCTCCTACGATCACCACGGAAACATGGCCGGGTCTCTGTGCCTCTGCTTTCTTCTCGCAATTTCCTCCCTGGACACTCAGAGTGACCAGGAGCAGGAGCACAGCCACAAACATGCTCTGGTCCTAACCGTCCAAACTCCTGTATGAACACAGAAATCAGAGTCATCACATCAAGGTCATTAATCAAAACCAAGCATTAAATATGTTGTTTTTAAATGAACGATTAATATGCAAATACTTGTCTTGATTACTTGCATTACTGTCCTTGACCAAAGACATTATTAGTAGAACACTCATGATTTCCTTGACCAATCGATTAGATTACTAAATCATCATAGCATTACTGTAAATCGTATGTGTTTACCAGAGAAACAGAATGATTGATCGACTAACGAGATCTGAGTCCACTAAGACCGAAACCGCCAACTAAAGTGAAAATAGAGAAACTATAACTTCCTATAATAATTACCCAGAGCCCAATGTTATGTATTGTACAAACAGCGCAAAACTCGAACATTTTAACATCATCACAAATTAAAAGGTTACAACCGTACATATGCAAGTAAAACAACCCATTACCAAAATAGTTTGCAATCAATATTTTTAAACTACTCCTACATAATCAATACGTTTTTTAGCTCTATTTTTGTGATAAAAAGCAAAAATAAACATGAAAGCTATCCTGTCACAACAACTAAATGCAATTATTTAGTAGAAAGCCTGTCTTATGAGCCACATAGCAAAAACAACAACAACTGGCAAATAAAATCCAAGTGACATTTTTAACAATGCATACATGTAGACTGTAGAGAGTGTCAAAAATCCATGAATGTAAACAAAACTTGAAAGTCACGGAACAAAAGCCAATGCAGATAAATAATGTGACCACTATGTAAAGCAATAGTCTATATAACCTTTAAATACACTTAAACTTACACAAATCTCCAAAGACAATATAGATAAACAATAAATCCCTCTGCAATGTCTCCTTCTGCAGCCGTTTGAAAGTCTCCTGAGAGCGGGCGATGTGGTGCAGTAATGTCGTTACGGAGTAATCATCAGTGGGTACTGGTGAAGGGTAGACTTTGCACTTTGCCCAGGGCCATTGAACTTCCCGTAAAAACGTCCCACTGTTGATAGAGTGATGGGAAAGTCCAACTAACTTATTTTGCAACAATCTAAACAAATGTGTGTAGCAAGATAGGAAAATCTGCAAAACGCTTCCATCAGATAATAGGTTAACCAGGTCAGATAGGGTGATGAACAAAGCACCTAACACACTCAGAGCTGTAAGGACCGTGCAGCGAGGACAATGGACTCCCTTCATGACCATGTGTGCTTTTGCCTATCAACACAATGTTATCATGGTCAGTTCACAACGACACAGTTCAGTGAGAAATCAACTGCACACACACACAGTTTTCCTAAGACAAAAGAGTTAAACACCGACAAGCCTTAATCCTGTGCTGCACTGAAAAACACCTGACAAATCACTTGGTTCATATTTAACATCAGTGATGCTGTGAATCAAACAAACTGTTATACCTGTAGTACTTTAGGTCTGTAAGTGAAAACCCTACACCTGTGTGCTGTCAGACCTTGAAGAAGAAAAATATACAAATATATGCAAGAACTTTTGAGCGACTTTGACAAGAACAATCTGCAGGTCTCCCTTGAAAAAGAGATCTATGATCTCAATGGGACCAATCTGGTTAAATAAAGGTTTGAAATGAAATGAAATGAACAATTTAAATTCTGCTATTGACAAGAAACAACAACAGAGAGGCCAGTTTTAAAGCGATTTCAAGGTTAAGAAGGAAATTAAAGCTTGCTTTGACTAACCTGGTGTTAATTCTTAGTTAGGTATCAGGGTCACAACAGTTTCAAAGATTTGCAGCCTGAATTATTTGAACACCCTGTCTGGCCATAGATAAATAGCAAACATTTAATGCATTAGCACAAATGATGTTCTTGCTCTTAACTGAAAAAAGCACCAGGCTTGAGACGTTTTTCACGTGTAAAATCCCACATCTTAAAAGTGTTGTTCTTCCTTAATTGAAGAAAAATAAAATCTCATCAGAAACAAAAAGTCGAGAGACTGAAAACTGTACACGCCACGGTATGAAGTTCATTTAATGATAAAGAGCAACATCTGGAATCCCTGTGTTCCTCAATCTTGTTTACACAGTGCCAGTGCTAGCAGCTGAATATCAGGTCTGATTTACTTTGTGAGAGATTACATGAGACACACTATTTACTCTTCCTTAAACCATTAACAAATATCCCACGGTAAATAAGGATTGACAACATACACAAGTCAGCAGGAACATTATATTTAGGCTTTTTGTCAAACACAAACTATTTTCAAACTACATGCAACTTGTAATCTTATCTTTTTCGTATTAGCTTCAAGGTCATTTTTATGCTTATTTGCCCGCAGGAATCCATGAAGTTGCATATCATCTGAAAATACACTGTTTTCGTTCAGCTTTTTATTTTATTCCAGTCGAGAATTGATCTGGTTAATTCCAACACATGACTTCTCTTCAGTCACAAGCTTCTTTTATTTTCTATCTGCATAGAAAATCTTACCCCTCACCACCTACACACTCCAAAATGATTACCATATCCATCAAACTTGCTATGAAAAGTAGCTTAAAAAAGGGCATCTCCTCCTGAAGACATCATCACACAGCACATATTCAATGACTTTTATTCTAGTGACATTTTGAGGAAGTCTCTTAAAGGATTAATTTTGGCAATCAGAGCTACCAAGACCACATTTACCTCTGAATTCAACATCAGTTAAACGTAGCACGTGAAAAACAGCATGTAGTCATGTCAAATTGTAAATGTATAATACTAAATAACTAGATAACTGTCTCAGGTCATTAGTAATTTTGTATGAATGATACCGATAGCAACTTTATGTGGAGATCTCCACCATGATACTGCAAGACAGGCAGCCTGCAGGGACAACCTTGATTCTAAGTATTGTTTTAAAACGTTTTTTAAAAGATTTGTATTGAGAAAAAGTGATTTTCTTTTCAGTTGGATATCTAGTATTCCAACTTGAGGGAATAAAGCAGTTTACATGTGTGACTTAGATTTAAAGGTGGGGTAGGTAAGTTTGAGAAACCGGCTCGAGATACACTTTTTGTTATATTCCATGGAATGCTCTTAATATCCCGATAGCAATGAATATCTTAAGTGCTTTGACAAAAAATCCATAAAAATATGTCATCTGTGGAAGCCGTAATACTGTAAAAAGCACGACCAATCATTTTAGCCGGCCCGGCTAAGATGACTGGATGGCCTACCTGCCTGTCAGCCTTCCATCTGTGCACAAACGTATCTCGTGCCCTCATTGGTCATGTGCACGTTCGTGTGTGTTGGAGGAGGGGCTCTGTAAGGAAGTGGCAGATTTTTTCCGGCTGTGTATTTTCAAATTCTTGCGCACTCGAGCTGGTTTCTCCAAAATTACCGACCCCACCTTTAACTATCAATAAAAATAATAATACATTTGTGCAGTTCAAGTATAATTACATTACAAGAAAGGACTAAATGCAGGTGATGGGGTGCGCAAGGCCTCCAGTAGCCTATACTACATTCAGTGTGAAATGAAAAGTAGTAATAATACTAGAAGTATTCTTTCATGCAGACTTTGCCAAAAGCTTTGTTTGGCTCTCGTAAAGCAGCATGGTCCACAGGTATGTCCATTGTTTGTGTCTGCTCCCCTGACCCTCACAGTGTGTGTGCGTGTGTGCATGCCACTGCTGCAAGTCAGCCTGAATCACAACACAAATGTACTGCAGGTCAAAACGCTCCCTGAATGCGTCATGTATAAACGTGCACTAAATCCATGGCTAAATCCTGTTCCTCATGCAACATTTGTTTTTATGTCACTGTAGTCTTGCTAAACAGGAAACAAAACATCACAGATATGAACGTAAGGGGGTTGTAACAAATGGTTTAACAACACAATGAGCTGCATGAATGAAAGTTAAAGAAATGTAACCACTCATCATGGCTCGTCGTGAACGTAAGTAATAATAATAATAATAATTCATTTATTTTATATAGGCCCTTTCAAGGCTCTCAAGGTCGTATTTGTACAATACATAAAAAACAAGATACACAATAGACAACACCAGCATAAGAAACATAAACAAGACAATGCAGTATATAAATCAATCAATCAAATAACCAAATAAATAAAAACAGAGGATGTGTGATGGATAATGATCAGGGTGGATATGAGAGTGTGAAGAGATATGTTTTGAGGCGTGATTTGAAAATGGGGAGAGAGTCAGTGTTGCGGATGTCAGGTGGGAGGGAGTTACACACAAGTAAATACACTCATCCACACACTCTCTGTTTGGAGAGCACATTAAGATCCTTTGGTGAAGCAGACTCGTTAATATTTACAATGACTTTCCCTGCAGTCGATCATTTTACAACACAACACACCACACCACACCACACCGACACCTGCTAGCTGTCAAACTTCCGCTAGCGTTACACACACTGCTCCTCAATCATTTTCCTTATGTCTGCAACAATAGTATCCCTAATACATGGGGAGACAGAGACTACAAGACGGAAGAGAGACATATATTGTAAAGGAAGCGGAGAAACTACTTAAAATGTTAATTGAATTACGAACCTGCCCCGTGGTGACATAAATGAACGACTCGGTGCCATGGATGTATAATAAGAACACCGTCAGTAAACGCTTCCTGCTCCAGTCACGTGATCCGGCACTGCTCAGGCTGCTGCTGATGGAGGCGTTATAATGTGTTTTTGTATACGAATAGCAAATCTATACAATTGAAAGAATATGAATAGTATATCTGAGTCAAATTGATCCGTGGACTTAAGGCATGTTCCAGTTAAAAGTAGGCTTAGTTTATTTAATTGTAACCATGCATTCAGTAGCAGTGGCTTTTTCTCCTGGAGGCCAAGGGAAGCCAGGCTTCCCCTGTTTTTTCGGATTGTAGTTATAATTTTAATAAATAAATAAAAAACACTTCGTTTAGTTTCGGAAATTCTTCTTTGCTGTGTGTTGCTGCCGGTCCATCTCTCCCCCATTCTCATTGAGTATTTTACAAAGAGTGAAACAGCGCCCCTCTAGATGTTATGGTAAAACAGTAGATTGCACTCACTGTTGCTAGAGGAGGCCAGCCGAAATTGGCTTCCCTTGGTGAAAAAAAATGGAGGGATTGACCAATCAGACGAGACCCACGTCATGCCCCTGCCAACCTGTGATTAGTCAGGGCCAGCGCCGTATAGATAGGATATTTTTAGATATCTAGTATTCCAACTTGAGGGAATAAAGCAGTTTACATGTAGTGGTGGCTGGTGGAAAATATTTTAGGTGGGGCTGTGGAAATGGTGATCAAACAATACTAGGGGGGTCCTGGGGGATGCTCCCCCGGTAATTTCTTTTGAGAAAAGACCCCTTAAATGATGACTTCTGGTGATGTTAGAGGGGGGGAAGGACAATTTGAGGCTTAAAAATATGAGAAGACTGATCAATACCTCCATAACTTCAGTGTGGTTAGAGCTATGAATCTTCCAAAACTTCCAAACACCTTGTCCTGGACATAGTTTCTACAGCATAAACTGTGCAACAGTACAGTATGCCCACACAAACTGCAGAACACCGGGGCTTTGGGAACACTGATTTAATTCCCATTTAACCTGTTAAGGGGCTTTTTCCCCCCGTTTTTTTTCTCACGAAACTGTGTCTCAGGGCTTCTTAAAATGTAATAAACTATTCATGTGTCCTACTCAGAGGAAACGCATCTAACTGATGATATGAACCATGTTTACCGAAACAAAACACAAGTCTCACAAGAAGCGTCTAAATGAGCCCTGAGCGAAAAAATGATAACGCACTCTAGGTATAAATCAATCGATATACTTATCGGATATGCACAAACAAGCTTACAAACTGAGATTCCACAAATTCTAGAAATATAAGTATCATCACTGAGCGATCAGAACTCGCGACAGGGGAAGCAAATACAGACATCACACAACGTAGCTTTAGGTAGAAAAAGATATGCTCACCTTTTGCAGAATAACAATTCTGATCAAAAACGAGAAAAACGCAGCTGAAGGTTGTTCAGCTGCTGCTGTTGTGA